AAATTAAATTATCATTGTTATCATCATTATCATTAATTACTTTTCATTATTATTATATTAGTACAAACATTTTTTTGAACAAAATAATTTATAAATCAACTTAATTTATTAATTATATTTTTATATAATTATATATTTATTGAAATATCAATATTACATATTTAATATATAAATATAGAACTATATATATATATATTTCGGAATTATATATATATATAATTTCTATTCAACATAAATAACATTTATAAATTCCATAATAATCAATTATATATATATATAATATTTTACCTCTGGTTTCCAGGGAATACCAATTCCGTTGTCAAAGTGAAACCTGTGTGTGAGACCATCATGCTCATTCCACAGATTGAGATAGCCGTTCTGATAAAAATAAATTCTGGATAGGTTGAAAAACACGCATTTTATTGCCATTTCAGTCTGGAAGCAATTTTCTCAAGCGCTGGATTTTAAGGATATTCTATTTTCGGAAACCTATGCAGACAATTTCCCAGCATGATCTGGGACTTCTTGAACCTCTAGCTGTCCAACAATTGGACGGTTTGCAAAGCAACCCAAGCATTGCTTTACATGTTTACATGCTCTCTGTAATTCAATACGCCCAAAGATCTGCACAAAAATAGGGGATACCACATTTAATGGCAATGGAGTGGGGACTTTTGTTTACACGTTTTTTTTTTGATAAATCCACATCTTTACAGACTCCGCAACTTACCCAAACTTCCGTGGTTTAAAAGCGGGCAGTTGCCGATTGACAACACAGATGGATGGTCAGAACACAAAAACATGACCCATATGACAATTGAAGTGTATGCTTAATATATCAATATCCTTGATATGACTAAAAATCTGAAAATAGACGACCAGTACCCGATCTCATCCACTGGTTGATCTTCACATTCACTCAAATGACTACCTTCTGGGTATCCCATGGTACAGAACGCAATTTCATATCTTTCGTTGGTTATATCCATTCATGATATCCTCATCATATTTCCATTTCTACCGGTTAAACCACCAGAAATCATGGCTATCATGGTGCCATCATGGCAACCCCCCGGTGCCATTTTGGCCACGGGTCAAGTGATGGTTACCGTCGTTGGTTGCTCCGAGGAGCCTTGGTCATAGATGAAGCATGGTGTATGGTTTGTGGCATTGTTTGCCAAAAACACTCATCGATTCCCCAGTTCTGGTGGAAGTTCCATTGGAAAAGTAACTAAAATCACTACCCTCTGCTAAACGTTTACATAACTATGGAACATCACCATTTTTAATGGGAAAATCCACTATAAATGGTCATTTTCAATAGCTATGTTAAATTACCAGAGGATATATTTGGCCGAAAAAAACATTAATCCAGTCAATGGATGCTGATGACATTTTGATCTGGGATAATAGGATAAACATTGGGATATAACAATTTCAAGGTCATCCTGAAGTAGATAGAACATTTGTTTTTCAAAGACATTCCGATATTCCCATTTTAGTGATGTGTTTTGGAAATTTCCATGTTCTATCTGCTCCAGGATGACTACATATGGACTAGGAAATATAATAGTGAAGCATTAACTAGAGTTTCTGGAGGTTACAACGATCTAGTTGTTGGGGTTTATAAGCCAACTTACAACAATGCACTCACACAGAAAAATAAATAAATAAATAAATAAATAAATATATATATATATATATAATGATGTGGTCATTCTGGAGTAGATAGAATATGGATATGTCCAAAAAATCATCAGAAAGATAGAATCGGTTTGTTGTTTCTTTAAAAACTACTGTATCTACTTCAGGGTGATTGCACACATGTATATGCATATTCAAAAATATATATATATATATATATCACCAATAATGGGTAGATGATGGTGGATGACGAATCCTTTTCCCAGAAATTCGCTGCTCTGGATTGACGACCATCCATGAGTATACATCTCTATCTACAAATCTATGAATTCATCTACCTTTTGACCAAGATTTTTTCGGTCAGCCCATTCGTTTTTGGGCTAAGCGGCTAAGATAACCTCAAGGATCGGATGAAGTTGCACCACATCTCAAGGAGCCAACCAAGACCGGTTAGTCGAACTTCTTCGCGTGCCCATCACCTTTTTTTTGAGATAGGTTGGTAAAACAATGCCATAAACCATTCCCAATTTCACAAGTTTTATAGGTGGCATAAACCATTCCCAAATGGGTGGTTTGTTATTGTTTTAACTAACACAGCCAAACTTCTTGAGTCAGACATAGTCATAGTCAGACAGTCCCCAGTATCATTCAGAACCAATCGATTGTCCCATATACCTTCTGGTTATTTAACATAGCCATGGTATAGATGACCCATAGAAATAGATGGTTTACCTATTAATAGCATGGTGGATCTTTCCATGGCTATGTTAGTCATAACCAGATGGTATCTTTCCTGGATTTTTTCGTTTCCCTCCGCAGCTGATGATCACAGCTTGGAATCCCTACGGGCATGAGCACACCCTTGATGCTATGAACAATGCCATTGGAGCAGAAGATGTCCTGGCGCGAATCTGCTGCGAATCTGGGAATTCCAACGACCCCAGCAAGTCAAGAAAAAAATACGGAAAACCCTATGGACTTATTAGGACAATGATCAACAAACATGTTTATGTATGTATTCATACTATGAAGGAATATACATGGAGACACATGATGGCTTTTCCATATCTTATTGATTTGGAGGGGCTTTTTATACAATCCTCCAGAGCCCAAACCTCGCAGCAAGCAGCAATTCTGCACTGTTTTTCTGTGCCGATTGCCCTATCCGATTGTCTTTCACTTTATCAAACTTCAGTCGTACTTTTTCTTTTTCAAAGGTTGAACTATCTTTCACCTGTTTCTCCATGATTAAAATCCCATTTTCCTTATTGGTATATGTATATATAATTATAATTATGTATCTATAACATTCTATAACTCATTATATTCATTATATCTTCATTTATCAAATGTTCTCAACGTTCACGTTTTCCATCTCATTTTTCTCCACCAAGGAAAATCATCTAACAGGTCAGCTGGACCATGTGCCCTCCAGGTATTTCGTTGATGCAGGGCCCCCCTCGTGGCCACTGTAGAAAGGTGACCTCGCTGACGGTTTTTGAAGGGAAAGTACCGGAAACCATGGTGACACCCCCATGAACATATGGAACTTTCCGGTTCAAAAAAAACCTTCAAAAACCAAGCCATTGAGGGATGGTTTTTACTTTTTAACACCACGCATTTTCAGACCAACTGAGGTCCCAGATGGTCCCAGTTGGAAGATTCTACTGCTCGTTAAAGCAGACCAACAGCTGTCTAGCGATGAGGAAGGTCGACCAAAATCTCGAGGCCCTCCAGGTCCCTCATTTTCAATCCCTTTTCACCTGAGCCCCGAACCATGAGCACAGTGCCATCAATGGCTTTCAGTGTTCGGCCACTGTACAATGCCTACAGTGCCATCAGATCGGTCGTCAAATCATGGTCAGCTGATCATAACTGGCCACATCCTAAGGTTTTCACCGATTTCAGTACGATTTGTTGGGAATGACACATGTTGAGTGCCACCATCATCATGAGCTTGGGATCATTACGTTGGCTCCAACAGGCTCCCCGGGTATCTTGTGAGGAACATAGAATTACGTTCCAAAGCCCTGCTTCCTAACCACTGGACCACTGGATAACTTGTTAGGGAGGAATTATCTTAATCTGAATATCCCATGTCTTTTTTCCAACAAATTCTACAAACACGTGGATGAATTTAAGGGAACGCTTCGAGACATCCATATGTTTTTTTCGATGAAATTTGGAGGTAAAGCCTGCACATGTTCCCTTCATCCAATTAAAAACAAAGTTGCTCCCAACAGCCCAGATACCACTGTGGGAGGTAAATTGAAGAGGTCAACTCATCACTTTTTCCCAAGTGAAACAATGGCAGGGTGCCTCGAAGGGGATCCGACCTCTAATGATGTGGCAAGCCAGAATAGCCTGCAACATCTGCGGCAACATCTGCGGCCCGAGGAAGCGAAGAAACTCCAGCTGGTTGCCATTTTCAAGCAACAAACATAAGCTACGTGAAGATACCAGTTTGAAAGGAGAAACTGTTTTCATCATCTGGGTGATACGTGCTGGATCATTGTGGTTTTCAAACACAAGCCAAACCGAGATACCCATTGGTAAACATACGTGGCAGTGCAAAACCCCGAACTGAATGGGGCTTCATAGCTGGGAAAATCATCGAACTAAATATTGGATCTTCCAGCAAGACATGTTTGATTATCGGAGGTAAACCCAATGCTCAGGTCCTTTCGTTTACCTATGCTATAGCCGCTATGCTTCAGGTCTTAGCGGTGCACCAGGATGTCAGTGGGCCGCCTGCAAGTAGGGAACTTGCAGCATATCTTCCAGAGATCCTGGAACTGCATCCAGGGGACCCGTGGGAACCATAGGTAGCAACTGATAGCCCCATTGATATGGCCACAGCCAAGATCAGTGGCGAAATCGCACATCCAAGTGAATATAAGACAGCTAGGATTCCCATTCCCATTACATCTCAAATCCCCAATGAACATCCCATTCATTTCCTAAGTGGGTCCTGCAAAGATGGGCTGAGCAACATGCTGAAAATGGGGAACCCCACTTAGCTTTACCATTCTTTGAACGAGAAACCACCACCATAAATTGGGGGGATAGCCCACTTTCAGATACATCAAAAACAAAGAATCCAAACATTAAGTTGCTTATAATATCTTATAATACATTATATATCTCATTATGATCCATCCTAAGGGGTCCTATCTTCCTATAACATTCCCCTTTTAAAGTCCCCAGTGGATCACCATGAATTCACAACCGTCCCCGCCCGAAACGCGTTTGACGCGAATCGCCAACCCGCGCTCCTCCGCCCAACGCTTCTAGGAGTGCGGAATCCTGGGGGACAAAGACCTCACGGCAAGAAACCCCAAACAGTGGGCAGTGGGAGGATAGTGTATGTGTATGATATTAATACCCTCTGGTTATTTAACATAGCCATGGAAAATGACCCATAGAAATAGATGGTTTACCTATTAATAGCATGGTGGATCTTTCCATGGCTATGTTGGTCATAACCAGATGGTAATGTTGTTGTTGTTGATGATGATGATGATGATTTTCCAATTCGAAAGCGCCCCTATGACCAGAGGCGACAGTCGGATCTCCAGGGGGCTGAAAAGAAATGCACTTTTTTCGCAAGCCAACGGGAGTCCAGAGGATTCCAGGCACCGCGCATCACATTCTTGTTGGGCACCTCCAAGTACTGACAGTGAAAGTTTTCCACCAAACAGAAAGTCTCAGAAGCTAAGCTTCGCAATGGAAAATCATCACTTTTAGATACCTTTAGAAAATCCTCAGATAAAATAGGCCATCAAAAAACCATAGGACCATAGCCATGTAACAAACGGAAAGCAAGAAGCTCTGAGGTGAGGATTTCACGTCCCATTTCGCCTCTCGAAATTGTTCACTTTTGATCTTCCAAACCCTGCAGAGTCCCTGAAACTCTGGATTTTTATTCCACGTCATGGGATGCCAAACCCAAGTTATACCCATAATTTTCAGAAAAACACAATCTTTCTGGATGTTGATCCCGTATTTTTTCCTGCCGCATCATCCATATTTGGTCCATGGTGCACTGATTTTCTGGTCCCAAAACCTGGTGCCAGGTGCCCCCACTGTGAAGGGCCCGTCGGTTCCGTCAATGGCCTGGCGGAACATCTGACAGGATCTGGGGCGCCAGCTGAAAACTCAGGGAATTGAAATGTGGGTTAATATGGTTTCTACCCTCTGGTAAACGTTTACATAACTATGGAAAGATCCACCATTTTTAATGGGAAAACTCACTATAAATGGCCGTTTTCAATAGCTATGTTAGTTTACCAGAGGGTATAATTATGGGCTTAACATGGTTTCTATATGGGCTTAACACGGTTTCTATATGGGTTTGACACGGTTTCTATATGGTTCTATTCAGTTGAGAATGGTGTATAATGGTTGAAAACGGGTGGTTTTAAGTTTTAATCAATATCATCATATATCATCTATCAATGGAGGATTTCATGATGGTATTACGGGAAAAACAGGCTTCGCATCTTTGTTGGCAATATCCGGTGTCATCCAACATGGCTTGGCTAGGAAATCCCTGAATTTTTCCAGGACAGGCGCCCCCAAGGACTGGCGTGGATGGGATTCGAAGATTCCAAAATGCTTTGTTTGCAAAAGTAAAGGATGCTTGACTGAATCTTCCATATACATGTACATATGTGTATATATATATATATGTACACACACATATACATATATATATATATATATTATGTACATTGACACACACACATATATATATATATATATTACGTACATATGTTTTTACATCTTTAGACATACATGTGTATATATAGACATATGTACTGCACATATGTAACATATCCTCTCCCACCGTTCGCTCTCCGGCGTTGCCTGCGCCACTTCTTCAAAGCCGTTCGCTCTGGCGACCAGTTGACCGAACAAGCCGAAGCCGGGCCTGGTCAGGAGGTCTCCAACCCCCAGTCGGTGGCTAAAACAATGCCATAAACGCACCATCCCCCAGGAAAATCACCATAAATATATAGGTGGTATGTTTACTTACCATTCCCAGTCGGTGGTAAAAATGACATAAAATTTTAGCCACATTAATCTATTAATACTATTAACCACCCAAAAATTGGTGATAAATCACTATTCATGGATTATCGTCACTATTAATCACTATTAACCATCACTATCCCATGGGTTTTCCCATTGTTTTATATCAGAGTATAGGAGTCTCGCATCGGTTAGGTCCTGTAGATTTTCCCCCATGTCCGGATCAACCATGGATTTTGGTCTCCTAAGTCATGGGGTTGCCCGCCCCAAATCATCCATTTTTTCATAGGATTTTCCCATGAACAACACAAATCCAGCGATTGGGGTGAGCCCAAAAATCACTTCGGAAACGGATCGAAGATGATCAAATAATGAAATCATTCGCCACTTGAGTGGCTCAACTCTCTGAAAACACACCCAATGGGACGTCATTCGGAGCATGGCTTTCCCATTCCCTCAGTTCCCAGGATTTCAAGATCTCACCCCGAAAAAAATCGGCCATCATCGGGGCCCGGAAGATCCCAGGTCAGATCCCAGGTCTTCGCCCCACTCTGAGGTCAGAACTCTTCATGACATGTGGTGAGAATGGGCTGTAACTCAGGTACCTTCCATGCCGCTGCAGACACAAATTACAAGGCAAAAACTCCAAACAGGATGCAGAAAAGTGTGTAAAAACCGTCTAAAAAATGGTGCAAAATGAAAACTTTTCTAATTTTTTTTGGGGTTCCACCACCCGCCATTTGTGGTTTGGATTCCAGCTATGGCTTTGGGTCGAGCCGTGCTCGAAACTCTAAATGCCAGACGATGGATGGACTATTTTCTTAGAATCATCCATCCCAGATTCAAATGGCCCAACTCTGAGCCATCCAGTACACCTATCCTCTGGTTATGACTCACATAGCCATGGAAAATGGATGAAAATGGACCATAGAAATAGATGGTTTACCGTTCTTAATAGCATGGTGAATCTTTCCAGTTCGCAAACTCTTAGTCATAACCAGATGGTAATGTTAGTCATAACCATCCCGCCATGTGGGGAACCCTGTCCCCATCTCCCAGGCATCCACCAGGTATAGCTACCTGGTGCCGATGAACATCCACAAAGGCTAGTTGCAGACCTCTCAGCCCCCTGGGCCTCAGCATCAGCACCACCAACCACGATGGCGAAGAAATGGCTACTAGATGTATAGCCTATGAATATGGAATCCAACACAACTTGCATCCAAAAAATATCATCAATATTCATCAATACTTATCAAGCTGATGAATAACATTGAATAACTATAATCATAGTCAATCACGAATTAATAGTCAATGCTGCTATCAATTGCGACGACCATCCCATTATGAAACATGAGAACACCATCCAGGCACTGAAGCCTTGACTGACGAAGTGGGTTTTCGACGCGACTTTTTTTGTGTCGACAAATCACCAAAGGATTTCTTTTCGGAACATCAACTGCCCCCTAAAAACTCGCAGTTACACACAATCATGAAGTTCAGTTCACGTAATTTTCAGCTTTGATCATATCTGAACAGGTGGTTAAGCCACCCCTCTGAAAAATCATGGACTTCGTCAATGGCTTTCGGATAACATCCCATATATATCCATATATTTATTATGGAAAAGAAAAGTCATGTTTGAAACCAGCAGTCCCAGATATTATAGAACATCTATACCATTCATTAACCATCCATTAACCATCCATTAACCATATATTTTCCCATGCTTTTCCCATGGTTTTCCCATGGTTTTCCCATGGCTTTACCCAGAAACCCCTGATGACTTGGCCGCCGGACATCCAGGTTCGGAGCACGGTGCAGTCTAAGTCACCAATGGCGGTCCTAGAGCGCGCGCCACAAAAGCTGCGGTCGACCCGAAGAAAAAAAGACGATAGTGGAGCCATAGGTATAGCCATATTTCTTCGTCAAGCTAATATATCTGGGTAAATTTTAATATTTCACTAACCTGAAAGGCCATTTGGGGATGATTCCCCTTACTAACCATGATTCCAGTGAGGGAGAACAGTGAGGTCGTTATAATTTACCCATATATACATATATATATATATTAGCAATTCTTCGTCAAACTTGATATGTTTTTTTTTCTGTTTTTTTTTGACAATAACATACATGAGTTTATAAATTAACATAATCTATAACTTCGTTTCTTTTGACATACTGGAGTATGTAAATTCAACTATTGAGACAGAGCTTCATCCTATAGCCCTAACAATGGGACAATCAATGGGATTTAATGGGATTTAATTATTAGTTTTTTTAAGAGGACTTATAAGGGATTTAATACATCTTGATACATCTAACAATGATGATTGGTATGATTATGCATTGGGATGACGGTTAATCCATTGCTTAATCCACTAGGACTGGGATAGAATCGGATAATTAATGGGATTGAATGGGAGATCATTTGATCAAACAATCCGATAGGCCCTAACATTAAACACACCCCGTTGTATGGTCCCAGTCAGACGTGTTTTCATCCGGTCTTCAACCATTTTTTTCGGGTGGGTCTTCAATATGAATGAGGATGAGATCAGTTACTTAGCTCATGGAGATATATCTACTGGAGATGTCGTAAAGTAACGTCGCTGCCGAAACCCCACTATTCTGTAGATCATTTTCCCACCGGGGAAACTTCTGGTGGGTTTCATGGGGTTTCCAGATCTAGGGACTGACCAACTATACCGGGGGCTTTAACGGGGGATATCTTGTGGGATATGTAGCCAGCTCACCAATCATAATGATGATATGATGGGATTTATCAAGCAACAAAAATACGAAAACATCATGGGATTGAATGGGGATTTCATGGGAACGATAACGCATAGCAAAACATGTTGCATTGAATACCATTAACAACTGGTGATTTTTCATGGAATATCAATGAGGATATAACTCAACAGGATTCCTGACCAACCAATTAGACTCTAAAAATATTGCGCAAATTCACCCATTTTCATATCATTTATTGGGGGATGGACATCAATCCATTTTCATAGCTTTTTTTGGGTACCCGTTATGTTTGGGGTCCCATGGCATTGCATGGAAGACCATAAAACCGCTAATCCCATCGATATCTTTGACGATGGCACATATGCTTGACTACTGTCATGAATTCATTGGCCATGTCAGGAACCTAAATTGAAGGTACCTACCATATATAAGGCCTATTTTTCAGGCCTATGTAAGGGAATATCCCAGCAAAATATGGCCTTATATGGTACAGTACCTCCATTTTAGGATCCTGGAATTCCCATTGATTATAATGGAACATCCTATTAAAATGGATGATTTAGGGTACCACTATTTTAGGAAACCTCCGTTTTGGAATGATGTCTTGCACCGGCTGGGCAAACAAATGGCCCGCTTCATCACAGATCACGGCCGGGTTTAATGATGGGACACTCGTGCAAATCCGGTGCAAATCTTAGTTCCATTCAACCCCAGCGACTGGAGCCTTGACTTCAAACCGCAACACTTTCTAGCAATTAGGAACTACACCCACCAATCCTGCTGAATAATTTCTCGATTCCTAAGGCTTTTCTCATGGTTTTCCCATGGTTTTCCATTCACCCCACAGGATCACCACACCACACCCCGGCCGCGCAAAACATGTCGTGGCCGACACGATGACCGAGTTATCAGGCTGAACCACCTGCGCCCGGGTTCAATTGGCGGAAAGGCCACCATATCAACATCCGGAGAACAAAAGAAATGTATTCAAGGATATTAGATAGATTATATTATGTGTATCTATATTAAAGGTATTCTAATATCCTTTAATAGCTGTTACACCATAAGATATCAGATAAATAGTATTAAATAGATATAAATGATATAAATTAAAAACGATAGTATTAAATAGATAAATAGATATATAAGATATTTATGCAATTAAAGGATATTAGCTAGACAGGACATGTCCTACCATGAAGATTTGTTTTTTCTGTAATGAAAACCATCACTTTATTGAAGAATCCACCCAAATGGAAATCTGGATAAACAACAACACAATCACTAGCCTGAATTAAGGCTATTTTTTTCATGATTTACTTCTTTTAAGCATAGTTACAGTGATCATAGCGACATCGCGGCGTGAGGTCGATATCACCTAAATTTATCGATTGTTTGTTCCTTTTCAAGATGGCAAAATTCCACGTCTAGGCCATGGCTAGACTATCAGAGTTCGACTGTGGGACTGAGTCGACTGAGAATTTTCGGCCGCGATCTAAGCAATGGATGTTTCACTGGATGCTGTGGATAGAGAACAGTCGCTGCGTTTTCCCAAGATTCAGCCCACTGAAAAAAAATCAATGCCCATCTGCACTTCAATGGGAACTCCCTATGGCCCTACGGCGAATCGAATCTTGATGAATCGAATAATGGTTCATCACCAATAAACATATAAATTGGGCTATCCATTTAACAATCCATTCACCATTCACCATTCACCATTAACATCATTAACCATGAACCATTAATGGTGAATGGTTTTCGTGGTTAATGATCATGGTTAACATCATTGACCATGGTGTTAACATAATTAACATCGTTAACCATGGTTAACCATGGATGGGTTTTTCATGGCGAATTAATGACGAAAATTCACCATCACCATCCATTCACCGACGAAAATCGCCATCTGAGATGCCCTGCCAAGTCCAAGATGGTGGCGAGTTGCCCAGGATCGCCCACCTGTGCCTGTGATGCCGGAGATGGGGCTATTGGACGATGACCTCATCGGCCTTTTGACCCACCGCATTTTACATCCCACTTAAGGAATTCTCAGGGGAATTTGAGTGGAAATTCCCAGGGGAATCATGAAAAACCATTTGGCCAGAACTGGAGGGAATTCCACCACATCATGCTGTTGGTGACATAACGACATATGGAGGTTTCCAACAATGGGGGTACCCCCATTGTTGGATAGTTTACAAGGGAAAATCCATCTATAAATGGTGAGAACTGGGTGTACCCCTATTTTAGTAAACCTCCAAACCTCCATACATCTTATCGTTGGTTGTTACCACATCTTATCATCCGCGGAATCTCCGAACTGCTGAGTGGAAAACCTCGGAACTGTCCAACAAAACATCAAGACCTTTGCAAAAAAACTTGGGAAAGTCACTGTAAATCTCACTTAAAATCTCACTCTTTCGAGCTCAACGGCAACGAGTCTTGACGACTCCGGGGCGCCGCATGGCGCCGCCTCCTGTCGCTCCGGATTGTGAAGAAGGCCGACGGTCCCACCTAGGATGGAAGACAGTGAACGATTGCGGCTGGGTAATAAGTTGATGGGTGAATTTCGTGAGATATGATGCAAATTTATAATATTTGATGGGAATATAACCAATGGATTTTGATAGGAATATGATTTTGATGGGAATAGAACTAATTAATTTTGATGGGAATATAGATTTGGAATAGATGGACATATGTCACCAATCATAGTGACAATGGAGCTGGAGATGTTTGATGGGAACATTCATGGATAATATAACCCTAGGTGGATCTGTAACTAGGAACATGGGCCATGGAGCTAGTTGAGTGCTGATCATAACAGGGTTATGATGTTTCCTCATCTGGAAAGAGTAAAACCGGGAGCGAACAAAAAGAAATGGGAGTAGTATTGAATAGTTGATCCATGAATATTCCTCATATCTAAGCTGAATTGACTAGGCTAGTTGATGGCTCTGGCTTAGTCCACCCAAGTTAATTCAGTAAGGGTAGTGTCCAGTTATAACATGTTATAACTGGGGTGAACTAAGCCACTTACTCGGCAAAAACCACTTTCTTCCATCCTAGCATCCCAGGAATCGGATCACCCCAGTTACGCCTGTCGTTCACGAGGAGCCCCTAGCCGATGACCCTCCAAGTCCCACGGTAAAAAACACGGGAAATCCTATGATCTTCGTAGATTTCTGCTGAAAAAACACGCTTTAGCCAAAGTCGATGATTAGCAGGAAAAAACCAGGTGGCTGGTAGTCTAAAAACAGGCTACCCCCCATTCCATAAAAACTGGTTTCAAAACCTCATTTTCCCTATGAACAATAGCTATTTTGGGTGGTTAACCCAATTTTCAGACACGACCAAGAACAATTTTCCCAATGATCCCCACTATATCCCCATGGTACTAGCTTTACCATGGGGATGTTTCTACCGCCAAGAGACCCATGTAATGATCCCCGGTACCACATCGCAATCTCAGAGCGAAGCTCACATACCTCGAGTGGAATTGACAAAGGGCTCATGGAACTCCACAACAACGGCCTCTTTTTTTGCTTCATCTGTCAAGATCGGGAGGAAATAGCAGTAGCGCATGTTTCGGAGACCCTCTGGTAAACATACAAAAAACTATGGAACATCACCATTTTCAATGGGTAAATCCACTATAAATCACCATTTTCAATGGCTATGTTTGTTTACCAGGGGTACCCTCCAGCAATCAAACACGGGGCCTTGAAAAAAAAATCCAAACACATTCCCCGCCTCTGGCGGATTTCTCATTGGACAAATTCAAAAAAACATCACCTTGACTCAGCAAACCCAAGACTTTAATGTCAACCCTGGATTAGTAAACACAGATCACGACTTGGCCGGGTTCCCTCCAAAACAGTTTTCCAAATGACTATGAAATTGGTATCTCCCCTATCAATTTTTTTACTGGTGGTTTTTCAGAAAATCCCGGGCTGACATTGCCATTCTACCCATCAACATGGCTGGTAAGTCCCACAATGTTCCCATGAATTTCATGGTGAACCTTGGGGAACCCCCTAGCGTGGCAAGCCCCAACTAACTAAACCTATCATTTGGGGATGGTTTAGACCCCATAAAGATGGTGATGACTTGGGCATCCCCCATTTCCAACCCAAAAACCATCCCCAAAACCAGCCGTAGATCCCATGATGTTCCCATTTTTCAAGATTTTTCATGGTGAAACCCTCATTTTTGATGGTTCATCCCCTAGCATTTCCCACCACCGTCCCCTTTTACGAGCTGTCTTCCGCCCCACCCGGGCACTTGTCGTTCCGCAGGGTGAACTTCACTTCCTCGCGATAGGAGGGCCGTGGCCGGTCCACGCCCCCGAAGACGAAGACGGGCACAGCGTGCAAGGGCCATTCCCTAGGAGACTGTCCGGGTGGGTGAAGCAATGGGGATTCAATGTTGGTTACAATGGATAGAATAATAGTTGTATAACCTAGAGTAGAAAACCAAGGCACGATGATATCATAAACCTTCGAAAAACTCCATTTTAAACCTCTGATAAACGCACATGACTATGGAAAATCACCATTTTTCAGAGGTAAACCCACTACAAATGGCAATTTTCAATAGCTATGGTAGCTTGCCAGAGGGTAATTGGAATTCAATGGGGCTATAATGCATAGAATGATGGATATCACCTGGAAAACCTATCACAACTGGAGGTTTTCGCTTTTCGCACTTCTTTTCGGTCGCTGGGATATCCAGCGGATTGCCTCTTGGGATACCGTAAGTCCCCGGTTCGGTGTTCGCTGTTCCCATTTAGAAATGGTTCAGAAAACCAGAGTTACTAAGCAGCTACTAACTGAGCCATGAACAATACCCCTATCCCATGCCATATCTCATTTTACTGATTTTACTGCTTGGTGAGTAAATTCATTCCCATTGTGGGTTAATGTAGGTGAAACAATCATAAACCATCCCCCAGGAAAATCACCATAAATATATAGGTGGTATGTTTACTTACCATTCCCAGTCATGGCTGGTGTCCAAATGGCATGAACCATCCCCAATCAACCAATGAGGATACCCGGCCTGGTAATGACTCACAGTTTGCTATTGAATAGCTGGCCCAGTCGAAATAGTTGATTTACCAATTTACCTGCCAAAACATGGTGGATCTTTCCATCGTTTTTTGTATGTTTACCAGGCCGGGTAACTCTGGAAAATCACCATTTTTAATGGGTAAATCAACTATTTCGACTGGGCCATTCTCAATCCCCAGTGAAATCCCATAGAATCACCTATTTCTACCAGGTGATTTTCCATATGAATCCCCATTTTCCCATGGTTTTCCCATGGTTTTCCCATGTTTTCCCATTAGTTTACCAGGTTTTCCCAGAGGCTAGCGGCCAGGCGCCGCTGATCCACGGGTGGTCTCAGGTGCCGACTCATCCGGCTGAAGATGTGCCACGCTATCCGTCCAAATGGCCTACGAAGGCGGAACCATTCAGCGATTTACAGCTGGGAGATGATGGGATAAAGTGAGATATACGGGGGTATGTATGTAATATATATATATTAATAGATAGTCATCTTGGAGTAGATTAGAATATGGATTTTTCAATCAGATTTCCATTTATTATTATCATTATTTTCAATTTTCCATGGTCTCTCTACTCCAGGATCACACTGTAAGGCGTTCTTGCAATGCTGGTTAGTGAGGGAAGAACTGCACATCTATGATCCACTGACATATGATGAAGAACTCTCAGGAAACAACATATTATTCTTTTCCTATGCACCGTTGTTATCTCAAAATTTGGAACGCCACACTCATGGTTTGTTGTCAATTTATGTTCTCATGAACTTCGCACCATCCGAATTGTTGGGACGAGAAACCATCGCTTCGTCTCCACGTACACTTCACATATACTCCATATATCCCAGCCCCTTTTTGACACTTGATAAGTCATAAACCTTGGAATTGCTTCAGTGAGGCACCAACAGCACAAAAACACATATTCCTGATAGGGTCCTTCCATCCCCAATGGTCATCTTGGATTTCTTTCGGACCACCAAAAAAGTTCGTTTTAAATATCCCCATGCATAAATATGAGATTACATATATTCGTATATATATAATATATATATACAATATAATATAATAACATATAACATATAATATATAATATATAATATATAATATATAATATATAATATATTATATATAATATATAATATATTATATATAATATATAATATATAATATATAATATATAATATTTAATATATTATATATAATATATAATATATAATATATAATATATAATATTTAATATATTATATATAATATATAATATATAATATATAATATAACATATATAATATATAATATATTATATATAATATTTAATATATTATATATCATATAACATATATATATATATTCCATATGCCATTTCATACCATCTGGTTATTTTACGTAGCGAACTGGAAAATCATCATTTTAAGGTTCGGCAAACCATCATCTGGATCATAAATAAGCAGAGGGTACCTTCTGGTAAACTAACATAGCTATTGAAAATGGCCCATTTATAGATGGTTTACCTATTAGGGTAGTTGATCGCCATAAAACCAGCAGTAACCAGCCCTACAAAACCCCCTGGTTGAAACATGAACCAACCATGGTTTTTTCAAAAACCTCTGTTGATTATGAGACACCAACCTGGTTGTTCAAGGGAGCAACAAAAACTGGTTGGTGGTTGACCTACCCCTCTGACAAATATGAGCTCGTCACTTGGGATCATGACATTCCCAACTGAATGGAAAGTCATAAAATTCCATGGTTCCAGTCACCACCAACCAGAAAACCACCATAAAACCAGCGATAAACACCTGGCACCTTGGGTACTTGCTCAGGAGGCCCCTTGCAGCGACGCTGTTGTCCCTGGCTGGCTCGATGTACTTTTTGTGGGACGCATGCAGCTGCGGTCACCGTTAAGAACGTAGAACGACGGTTTTAATGGTCCGTTTATGGACTGGTTGGTGATTTCAACCCCTCTGAAAAATATGAAAGTCAGTTGGGATGATTATTCCCATATGGAAAAAGGAAAAACAAGTTCCAAACCACCAACCAGTAGATGATTTGCTGATTTGCCTTTGAAGCATGGTGATTTTCCATGGGTATGTCAAATTTCCAGAGGGTACATATCTGATTTCATCTCTTTAAACCTTGGTGGTCTTATCTTAGATATCTGGTGGTAGACCCTGACACCCACCAGAGACCATACAGTGCTCCGGGCTCAGCCTTGAAAAAAACACGACTCTTTCATAGGGGAAATTCATCATCTAAACTCATGCGAGCCATGATAGCCATACATCAGCTATCCCGGCTATCCCCATCCCCCCAAAAAACTTGCTAAATCGCTATCCTGTTAATCATAGGTCAGTTCATAACCACCTTTGTAAACCACCAAAATCAAGAGATCAACAAATCAGCTCACACAAAATCCTGATATAAGCTCCCTAATCTCAGATGGTAACTTGCTGGCTCATCCCACTTAGTAGCTTAGTTCACCCTAGTGGTGAGTGGACTAAACCTACTTAGCCCATTTATAACCAGGGTCATAGGCGGAGGCAGCAGTCCTCCACTTGCCCAAAGGCCTGAGAACAGGATGAACATCTGGTGCCATCAAAGATAACACTTGGAAAATCCCATGAACTCCCTGTACGTGGGAAAAACACGGAAAAATCATGGGAAATCCCCTATGGATGGATTTTTTTTCGCTGGGAACATCATCTATGAATTGTTTTTTTCCCATTGCCATGGTTGATTACCCAACAACCAAACCGTCGGGGTTTGTCAAAAAATGGGGGGGGGGCAAAATCCACCATTCTCAGACACATTCTTGGTCATATATCCCATGATGTCCACAAAATCTTCCCATTTTGGATGGTTAAACCAGGTTAAACCCCTATGTTTTCCATACAGGTTGGTTACGAATTGGATTCCCAGTTCATGGATGATGCTAATCCCCCCAAAAATCACCCAAAAATGCTTGGTGAATCCCAGTCTCTATCGATTTCTCATGGTTGAACCATTTTTTTTCCGAGAAATTGTTGGTTAACATATGTTAACATCCACCATTCAGGTCCCAAACCATCCTCAAACACCATCAAACGCAATCTAAGTCGCGATTTGATCGTCGTTGCCCTGCGACTTTTCACCGGGCATCTGAGCGACATAGTTTGGAGACACTGGAGACGCCTGGTGATGCGAAAAAAAGAGCGCCGGTAAGAATCTGGATCTTCCATGGGGATTTATCATATTTTATAATCACTAAGCTGAATAACCTGAATCTGGATCAAGTCATGTTAGAGATGTTAGAGATGCTATGAAAAAAAGGGGGAACACTTGCGGATGTCATCCTATGTAGTGGGGATATGTGGGGATGATCAGTGAACCTTTCCCATCATTCCGTGACGGAAAACGACGTGAGGTCGCTTAATAACTTACCCTCTGGTTATGTCAAAATAGCGAACTGGAAAATTGCCATAGAAATAGTTGATTTACTCATGAAATCTAACCATAATGATTTTCCATAGATAATTACAAGAGGGTATCCAAATGCATTGTTTTTCAGCCAAGAAGATGGTGATTTTGACCAGCAAATGTGGAGATTGAAGTGATTGGAACAACGCAGATGTGAATTTTGCACAACACATCTAGGATTTGCACTACTTTAGGATCTTTAGGCGACGAACATGTAGATTTTGCGCAGCACATATTAAGAACACTAGATCAACACAGAATAGGGTTTCAACCTGCTTCAAGCATCAAACATTGACTTACCCTCCTGTAATCAAACATAGCAATGGAAAATCCTCATTTAAATGATTTTCCCAGCGAACTGAACCTCCATAAAATATGGGGATTTCCCATGGATTTCCCATTTCCCAGCTAGCCACGTTTGATGACACGTTTGAGAGTAAATTTTAACGCCCGGATTCAACAAGCCTGGGAACTGAACCATTGAAACATGTGGATCTAACCCAAAACGATCCCTGATTTAACCAACCAAAATCGGGTTTCGCGAAGGGGATCGAACGGACCAAGAAAAAACGCGATTCTCCAAACCCGGAGAAGCACCCATAGAAATTTCTTCAAGTTCTGAATTTCACCAATCAACATATCTAAGTATCAAGTATATGTTTTTGTTTCGCCAAAATAGTGATGAAATGAGTGGGTAGCTGGTGGCTCAAAAATCCCATCTTTCGCCCAATGAGTCTGACAAGTCCTGGTCAAACATGATTGAGTGGTGGACCTGTTCATTCTCGACACGAGATTTTCATTTATTTTCTAAAGAATCGAGAAAATATTGCTACATATTATTTTCATTCATTTTCTAAGGAATAAAGAAATCATTGCCACATTTGCCAGAAAATCCCATGACTTTGGTTTTGGCATTGATTTCCAGAGGACCTCCAGCGGACCTCCAGAGATACAAGCGGAATGACTATGGGCCGAGGGGATCTACCAAGAGTGGAGGACTTTCCAACATGGGTCTGTCTGAAAATGGTGTATACCATGGTATGCCCATATAATATGAGCATTGATAGTAGGGAAAATGATGTTTAAACAATGGATTTAGAAGTAGCCTATTTCCAAACAAAGCCATATGCAATGGAGCACATCATAGATGTTCCTCAACTGATCTTCTTCAACTCTGATTGTTGAACACCAATCTTAGGCGCTGGACCAATTTCTGTGAATTTTCGGGCGGGTTTTTGGAGAACTACCCAATTCACCAATGGCTTCATGGTACCCTCTGGTTATTTAACACAGCGACGGAAAATCACCATTTTTAATAAGTAAACCATCTATAAATGGGCCATTTCCCATGGCTATGTTAGTCATAAGCAGAGGGTAGGTTTACGTCGATTTTTCATGGTTCTCCCCATATTTCTTGCTGCTCAAGATGAATCATCATCCCCCAGGAGGACATGATGGTGACCTGATGTGCCCTGCCAAAAATGGTTCTTTTAGCTGGCTATGATGAGTGTCCCAATTCTTCCCCATTTGAACTATATATATATATATAGATATATTTGTTTACATCCATTAATGGCAAAAGATTAAAATATATTAAAAGTAAGTACCTACAGTTGACCCAGCATTTTCCTTAGCTAGGTCATTTGAAGATGTCCACTTGGGGATCTGCAACTATCCTTCAGCCCCATCTGCTACTGTTTCGGGATCGTGCCTGCGGGTTACTTCGTCCTGCTGTCCGATGAGGCGCCATTGTTTCGACATCATCTCAACAACACATTTCATCACCATCATCGCCGTCGTCGTTGTCATCATCATCATCATCATCATCATCAGTTGGGTTTGTCCGAAAATCAGCTACCTGCAAATGTGATGCTTCATCATTTTGTTCAGAAACAACCGGCCATAGCGTGGCCATCAATGGGGGTACCCCAACATCCGTGAAGTTGATGCCGTCTCGTTACTCCAGATACTCGCCGCTATGACTCACCGAACATCATCTCAATGGTGGAAAGGATAGATAGTTGAAACAGCAAAACAACGTGAACAGACCTTGGCTTATCCCTCCGATAGTCAGTGGGATAGTGATTCTTAGCCGACACCAAAGCAGGTTTACTGATCTCAATGGGTGAACTGCGGACAATATGCAATGGGTTGGGTGGAGAGCACCTACCATCGACATAGACATGGAAAACCATGAGAGTAGAAAAAAATCCTTGGGTTTCCTTCTGGTTGTTTTCCGCATTTTTTTGGTCAATTAACCCCAACTTATATCCATGGCGGTCCCTAAATAGACAGAAACGTGTTACTACCTCCCATGAAGCCCCCCAAATGAATAGAAACAATACATTCCACCATAGTTTCAAATGAAGTATTACACGCCCCAGTTATTTTTGGTGGCTGAGAAACCTCGTATCAAACTGCTAAATACATCGTGGTTACCGGCAATCGTGGCGATGGACAATCGCACAATCGACGAAGGTATTGATTGGAACATCACCTATTACTATGGTGGATATTCTAGGAAAATTACCATGGCAGTGGATGTACTATTCATGTATATCATTCTAGTATTGTGGATATTGAACATCACCCACTTCACTATGGCAATTACCCTCTGGTTATTTAACATAGCCATGGAAAATGGACCAGTTCTAGATGATTTATAATGATTTACCTGTTGAAAATTGTGATTTCCCATAGCTACGTTAAACTGGTTGGTGGTATACCTACCCCTCTGAAAAATATGAGTTCGTCAGTTGGGATGATGACATTCCCAAGTGAATGGAAAATCATAAAATTCCATGGTTCCAAACCACCAACCCGGAGGTCTTTGGGGTATGATTTGATCCACTGGGTCCCCTAGGATCCCTAGCTACGTTAAATAACCAGAGGGTACTCCAGCTTGCCACGTTTGACACCGGTCCGGATCGCCGTCCGCTTTGCTCTGAAGCATTGGAGCTCGGTCTCAGGCCTTCTTGGCCTGAAGATCTTGGGAGATGCCAAAAACATGGCTGGTCTAGGTTAAACCATTGGAAATGGAAGGGACACACACACACACATATATATATATATTTCTATACATATAATGAGACACACACACACATATATATATATATATGTTTTTATCTGTTTAAAAAATACTAGAACCAACATGAACCAAGAATGTGATCTTGAGATGTGTCTGAAAATTGGGAAATTGCACCAACTTGCAGCCTTTATTGAATGGGAGAACTGATGATAAACACATTTGTTTTCAAGGGGAAGATCAGGCAACATTTCAGGGGATTCGAAACGCGATTTTCATTTTTTGGGGCCTTGATCTGCCAAAAAAGGAGTGATGGGGATTGAACCGTTAAAACAAAGGGATGGGAGGAGCAAACATTGGGAGATCATCAACAACTTATGGATTTAAATTTACGGGGGGATGTAAGGGAACCCCTGTTGTTTGATGGTAAAAAAAATGGGTTCCTGTTAGCATTTCCTTTAACCACTTGAACCAACCAATCTCAAAATCAGGGCTGAAAATAGGTCCACCAGCAAAAATGAGGCCTTTACCAACATTGGGCGTTAAAATGCCCATGGGCTTCAGCCAATGCACCAGGAGATCGCTGTAACTTGGAAGCTCGGGCCCATAGCTACTGCCAAATCGGAGGTAAATCATGGTTTACCCGACCAAAGAGATCAAAAAAGGAGGGTATACGGTACACTGGCATATACGAAGAGGTAAACACACACAGGGGGATCAGCAATCTTGAACCCTCCCATCAGCCAGTATTTGAGTCGTTGTCACAGCCCATTCTCGGACACAGCATACATGACCCTACCCGTGGATCGGGCAGGCCTTCAGACGAAAGTGAAAGACTCCAACTTCTATCAGGCCAATTTGCCAAGGATTCCATTCCAAGTCGCAGGAGTGAAAAAAAAAGTGCAGAATCTTTTTGCAACACAACTCCACCAGAAGTCTTCCACTCAGCATCCCCGCCGCGCCTGCAAGAATGGAGGCTCCAGTCTGTTTCAGCCGCTGCGCCGGTGTGTGGCCAGGAGGGGTGTTTGCCAAGGGTGTGTGGCTGGGTGTACCCAGTGGGGTATGCCCTGGCGATACTCGGGGCGGGGTCATCGCCATCGCCATCTCCTGGCAGCGCAAGCTGGGCTGCATGGTGCCTACTTCGCCTTAGTTAGGCGACTTGGTTTATCTATGGAAGATACATCAGTTAGATGAGTTAGATGGGTAAACAACAAACCTAGTTGATCATAATTGGGGGGAGCTACCTTGTCGCGCCTAACTTGACTAACTTTGTTTGCTTTGTTTGCTTCGTGGTTTTTGAGCTAGACTTGCACCATGGTGGGAACACTACATAGCCAGAACATCATAAATCCATGTATTATATAATATATATATAATATAATATATAATATAATATATATAATATAATATATATATAATATATATATATATATAATATATAATATATAATATATATATATATAATATATATATATAATATATATATATATATAATATATATATATATAAATCCATGAAATCTTGATGACTTCCACAATATCCTGAAGCGTTCTTGTGCAACTACAGCACCAAATACCGATCCACATCAGATTTTCCATGGGCCTTGCCTCCTTAGGTGCCTCCTAAGTTCAGTTCCCCAGACATCCAGCCCCACTGAGCCGAACAGCAGTGGAAGCTGAGGAAAAAAACATCCATGGAAAGTGGAAGATGTGTTTGTGGTTAGCAACCATAGTTCAACTTAGTAACCATTGTTCTACTGGAAGCCACTGGAAGCCAATTAGTAGATGTTAGTAAGTGGTAAGTTTTGGTTAGTTCAAACATATTGTAACCCACAGATATCTTTAGGATAACCCCACCTAGGCTAAGGGGACTTACCAACTAGGGTTACTAACCACATATTAAGTGGGATGATCCTCCAAGTGATATCCTACTTTGGGGTACATCCCGGCTAGGATCTGTTGATAATAACCATGATGCTGATTGTTAGGATATCTCCAATGATTGATATTCTCATGGCTGATAGATAGCTAGTGAAAATGGCCATTTATAGTGAGTTTTCCCATTAAGAATGGTGATTTTCCATAGTTTTTTGTATGTTTACCAGAGGGTAACTTGTTATTCAAAGACCTGAGTGAGTCTGGCACATCCAATGATCCTGTTTCCACGTGATCCCCTCAAAAAATCCAGCTACGGTACCGACGGTACAGAGCCACCTGGCTTTTGAGCCACAATGTGGATCCGAAGAAATTGGGTACTCCGAAGAAATTGGAATTTCAAGACCAAACATAGATACACTTCCCATTTTAGGAGTAGCCAATTTGTTCGGATCCACATTTTGTTGATAATTTCTCTGGGTCTTAAAATTTTGGTTGATCCCGATGTCGTCGATTTTCACTTCGATCCAATCATCCTTTTCCCTTGATGACTTACAGATGGAGTCAGCCCTTACCATCACTGGTGGAACCACCCAACATCACCCTGTCAAATGGGATCATAATCTCCCATCCCTTCATAGAACAAACGTCAGATCTGTGTTTTGTATACATTTTTATCCCCATCATCTACCATGGTGACTCTCTTCCAGGTGTGATAAATAACAGGCGATGGGAATCTAACCACCCAGCAAACAAGTTGATTGGTACCCTCCAACAAGTGAACACAGATATTGAAAAACCATGGTCTTAATTCCAAGGATAATTCTCTACGCATGTACATACAAATATGTAGTAACTATGCTTATTGTGTTTTTTCATGTTTTTTCTGTATCTATGCTTATCTACTGAAGGGTAGCCGGTTAGCCAATTTTCCCACCAACCTGCCAAATCTGTGACCAAGTACCCATGCATCAGTCCATGAAGCCGCTTTTTCGATCTTGGCTCCTGACTCCGAAGACCTTTCAGCCCAGGTCCAAGGTTACCATCGAAGCCATCTGCTACCAGCGTGGAGTTTTCCAACCGATCTGACGATTTGTCACTTCGGGTTTTCCTCCGGGCGAGAGATCTGCGGAGTGGTTTTCTCTGATGCGGAAGCACTTTCCTGGTGGAGAACAGCAAGGGGTTTTTGCACACCGTTCAGTTAGGTCATGCCAAGTAGAATCTTTGCTTTGCCATAGTCTTCCGACTGCAAAGCCATTGACAACTGAATCGCAAGGCCTTTCACAGCACAAAGGTCCTTGCGGATGGTGTCTAAGGATGCCGCAAAGTGTATCCACGGTAGTCCCCAACTTTTCTGCCCCGAAAATCTGGCAGGTTTCGGTACGTCCAGCAGGCTGCTTGAGCCCGGAAAGCTTCGTTCCCCGAACCCATCGCCGAGGCGAGCAAGGACAGCTTGCAGCCACAGCAGGCTTTGGAAGGGTTCTCCACTGATCTCCAGTTGGGATTCCTCGAAAAAGTACTTTGGATCGATGAAATCCACCAGAAAAAACTTCACCCTCTCAGATGGCCAGATTTTCGAAGCCGAAGGTTCCAACCAGAAGCAGGCCTCAGATGACTCAACCGTCGCGGGATCCAGGCTACAGCACAACCGAAGGCGGCCCGGAAACTCGGTGGGCACCCGGGAACTCAGCTGTGAGGCTTCCATCATGGAGGATCCTAAGATCCGAAGACCCTGAGTTTCCAGCTCCTGGAGGATGCTACAGATCCCTGGCACCAGCTTGCAGCTGGATGAAAAGTGACAGGCGGAGTATTCCAAGATCTCACAGCTGGATGAATTCACATCGCATAGGTCAGACTTTAGCAGTTGAAGATCCTTGTGGATAATGGGCAATTGGACTTCGACCAGCCTTTTAGCCCTTTGAACATCATGGCTGAAAAAGTTGGATGATCTCCACTTCTCCTGATATTTGCGCCATTTCGATGCTCCCAAAAGATGTGAAAAGATGCAGTTCAAACATGTTCAAACATATTCCCTTCATCCGGTCCCCCAGTTCAAGGATGTTCAATCCCAGAAAAATGCCCAAAAATAAATATCTCCAACTCTCACATCCCTTCATCCGGCGCATTCGTTTCTCAATCCACAAAAAACATCCCCGAAATCTCAGTCAGCAAATTCCAAGGCTCAGCATCTGGCCTTTCGATGAGCATCACAGGGCTCGGCCTGTCAGCTGCCTCCCAAAGCTTCTCAGGCGAACGATCATCGGCCAACAGACCCGTCAAGCGTTGCAGGTTGGTCCTAGCCTCGGCTTCGTGACCTAAAAGGCGCAAGCCATCCTTGGTGGCTTGTGCCGGCGGCCCAAGAAAATGATGAAAATATCGATTCCAAGAGATTCTTAGCGGATTCCTTCATCGATTGATGTTACACAAAAGTACCAAAACTACAAAACCGTGGGATTTCACACTCAAATCGTCTCACTTTGCATGTTTTGGGGTACCCCCTATTTCCAGAAACGACCAACAAAATGGTGAATTTAGCCCATTTGGAAACTAACAAACTAATGTCAACCCCGGATTGATAAATCATGGTTTATTAATTAGGGGGGTACCCTCCATATAGTCACAATATGGTACATAAATGGTACCCTCCCAATTCAACAGCCTAGGGTTTTATCAATCCAGGGTTGACATTAGATGAACATCGAACACATCAGCTCAACGTCCAGTATCCAATGCCACCGCAGCCACCCAGCGATTTCTCCCACACAAGACCAGGGAACGCCGCCAGGCGTGCGCTGCCCGGCTCCAGTGGTGCGTTCCCTGCGTTCCCTGCGTTCCCTGCGTTGCGCGCGCAGTCAGGGCCCTGGCTAATTGGAACCAACCTTCCAACCTGTAGGGCCAGAGACTGATGCTCTCCTCAAGCAGCTTAATCCTGGCGAAATCGCGAAATCGCTTGACCCAAGAAATGAAGAGATCCGAAATTCTTCAGGGGACGACTGAATCTTATGTGAATCCAATGAGATGGGAAAAACAAACATTTTTTGGGACCGGAAAAAACACCAACAGTAAACAACGAAAAACCAACAAAAACACAAAGATCATCAAGCACAATCCAGCATCCATTGTGAACCCGGTCCATCCTGATACCCCGCCAGCGCAGCAAAGAACAGCTCCGCACTTTGCCGCTGAACCGCTCCAAGCGCAGACCGAGTGCCATTCAAAACACCAGAACCACTTGACATGTGCCAGCGCAGCAGTTGCATCGCAGCAGTGACTTCCTGGTTGGTGGTGCTGGCTGTGCCCATCTTGAAAAATATGAAGACTTCGTCAATGGGTTTCGGATGACATCCCATATATTGATGAAATGGAAAGTCATAATCCAGTCATGTTTGAAACCACCAACCAGATTAACTTATGTAATTCAAAGACCTGAGTGAGTCTGGCACATCACCCAATATATGGAAAATAAAAAAACGTCATGTTTGAAACCACCAGTCCCAGCTTCCCAATTTCCAGGACAGGAACTCTTGGCCGAGCGAAGGTGTTGTGCCATGTCTTCAGCTCTCCTTCTCTCCAGGATCGCTGCATGGGCTGTGTCTCGGGGAAATCGGGGGGACCAGGTGAGCCTCGGCGCCAAACCGTCAATCTGAGTTACCCGGCCTGGTAAACATACAAAAAACGATGGAAAGATCCACCATTTTTAATGGGAAAACTATGGAAAACTCACTATTTCGACTGGGCCATTTGGAAATGCCATTCCAGTTTTACTGGTTGGTGGTATACCTACCCCTCTGAAAAATGATGGAGTGAAAGTCAGTTGGGATGATGACATTCCCAATATGATGGGAAAGTCATTCAAAATTCCATGGTTCCAGTGACCACCAACCAGTTTTTAATGCTTTTTCTCTGGAACATAACACATGCTTTTTGTCCAAAACTGGGGTGGTCCAAAACTGGGATAGCCCATTAAAAATCCTCCGGTTGATCATCATCCCCATGGACACTCGGCTCATGTTTCGGGTATCCCATCCACTTTTGAGTTTTGAACAAACCCGGGAAAAAGGTACAAAAGACTTGGTTACAGTACAATTATCCGATTGTTATCCCATTGTTATCCCCATAAGATTCTTGTCTTTTATTCACATTCGTTGGGACTCATTGGGACTAACCCAGTTTTGATGATTTATTGTTGGTTCCAATTCCCCATTATATCCTCATTGTATGTCCATTGTCTCCTTATTTTAGTTGGTTAAACAACCCAATTGGTATCCCCTAGATCCGCATAGAGTAAGTTTTTTTCATCCACATTGGGAACCAAAACATGTTGAGTTTCTATCATTTTTCCAGTTATCATCCCTGCCATCTGTCAATTATATCTCATTATTATGTAAAATATACAGTATATACATTATAAGTCAACGACAATAAACCAGCAAAAAGCATATCCATGCAATCAACCAACTAAAATATATTTTAATATATTCTATCTGGGATATACTGTATATTCCTATAATGTTGGTAATGCAATAATAAACCACCACTATTTTGATGGTTTATACCACTCATTTTTGGTAAAATTGGGAATGGTGGATCGTATTGCTTTACCCATATTAATTCATAGTGATTAACCATCAGTTTCTGGGTTTCAATGGGTAATTACCAAATGGTTTTGCAATCTAATATATATATATAAATTATCTTTAATGTTTCTGGTTCAATAAACTTTAACGATACAATGGTAATTACCATTTATGATTGCTTTATCAACATTCATGATCAGTTCCTGTTAATGATGAATCCCAATTATTCGTATTGTATTATGGTAGTTTGTTGATAGTTAGTTGAATATCACCATCCTATAGCTAGTTGATAGTTAGTTGAATTATTCAACTAACTATCAACACTACAAAGTGGGGCCCCCTAGATAGCTAAGTTTGTTTATAACTCCAATGTCACTATGGTTTATGGTACCTATAACTATAGTTAATGGATGTTTTCATGGGGTTTATAAACCATCTTATAACTGGGGGGCCCCACCTTGTAACTATATTGTACCCTCTGGTAATTTAACATAGCTATTGAAAATGGCCATTTATAGTGGATTTTCCCATTGAAAATGGTGATTTTCCATAGTTATGTTAAATTACCAGAGGGTAGTTGTTTTATCCCTTACACTCCCACCCTTTCTTGAGGCCCCCGCAGCTTGGCTGCCCGTTGCCGCAGCCGCCAGAGCCGCTCTCTGCACAGCTCCGTGGCATTCGACGCCGAAACGACCGCCCCGTGGCCGTGGCCGTTGGAGGTGCGTCCGAGGACGGTGAGGCCGTTGTCTGTCAGGGAGTGTTCCAAGATTTCCTGGCTGTGTCTCCCCAAAAAACCCGGTGATCCAACAGACCAAAAGCGATCCCGCTAGATGTTAAAAACTGTGGATGGTTTGTCCGAAATCCTCAACACCAGTTGAAAAAACGGTGTGCGAAAAACCATCCACAGTATCGACCCACGTTGCGAAGATCCTTCCAAAGCCAACGGGTGGTTTCGTAAACTCATGGGATTCACCATGAAAATCATGGTGATTCAGAGGTTTTTATGATGAAATCACAGTTCTTCAGTTCGGGAAAACCAAAAAAAATGATGAAATCACCATTGTCATCCAGGCATCCATTATGAATTAAGATTCCTAATGGCCAATAGTGGTTGTCCAATTGATTATCCAGAATAATGGTTGATAATGGTCGTGATGAGTGATGGAGTGATACATGAAAATGGTGAATTATGATGAAGCCTCTGGTTCTGACTAAGGCAGCGAAGTGGAAAATCACAATCTTTACGTTTGGCAAAGCATCATGTTTATCGAATTAAATGCGCCATGGCTTCCAGTTCGCAAATTGTTAGTCATAACCAAAGGGTATCCAGAATAATGGTGACGTATGGTAGTAATGGCGTTTCAATTATACTGGTGACGTATGAATTATGGTGATTCACGGGTGGATTTATACCATAAATCAAGAATTGTAATCACATCTTTTGGATCAACATTTCTATGGTGGAACAATTCATTCCCTAGTTCTATCATTCTTGATCCTTGTAACATTTTCTCATGGTCGAAACATAGTCATAGTCCATGACTGGTTGGTGGTTGACCTACCCCTCTCAAAATATTAGTTCGTCAATGGGTTTCGGATGACATTCCATATATGAAATGGAAAATTAAATTCATGTTCCAAACCACCAACCAGTTAATGATGATCAGTGGTGATAATGATGAATCATCGGGTTGACTACATTACTCCGCATAATCATCTTTGAAACCACCAATTTCATGATTTTCCCATGGTTTTCCCATGATTTCCCAGGGTTTTCCCATGATTTTCAACGCCAAGGCTCCCATTCCCCCTTGGCCGGTCCCTGTAACCAAAAGCTCAAGGCATTTTGAAGTCCTGCCCATTGGGCCAAGTCTTGCTCGGCCTTCTGCGATGCTTGGTCCACCAGGTGGAGACCTGGTTGGTGCTATAATTGTGGTTATACCCTCTGGTTATGACTAACATAGCCATGGTATAGATGGCCCATTTATAGATGGTTTACCTATTAAAAATGGTGATTTTCCATGGCTATGTTAAATAACCAGAGGGTAAACCTCCATAACTTGGTATATAAAACACAGACATAACGATGGTTACACACATGTCATACATATGATTGTATATACTGGTTGGTGGTTGACCTACCCCCTGAAAAATGATGGAGTTCGTCAGATTGGATCATCATCCCAACTATTGGGGAAAAAAATGTTCAAAACCACCAGCCAGAGACTTAGGTCCTCTAGCGACGACACAGCCTGCTCATGCATCAACTGTTGAAGATGAAATACCTGGTGGCCCAATTTCGATGGCTGAAAAAAAATCGGTCCAAAAAATGTGCCAAGAAATCTCCAAAAATTGGGAAGACCTGATCGGATCCATCTACCATCTGGTTATGACTAACAGTTTGCCATGGAAAGATCCACCATTTTTAATAGGCAAACCATCTATAAATAGGCCATTTTCCATGGCTATGTTAAATAACCAGAGGGTAAATGGGAGAATTCCACCAAAATCACCAGCACATCGCATTCTGCAACTCAGCAACTAGCTGTTCCTCCAGCAGCTTTCGTTTTCGCTGATATGAGATGCTCGTCCCCTCATCATGGACCAACTCGTCCCTTTTCCCAAAGGTTTCGGTATCATGGAGGATGATATAACGCTTGGTGTAGCGACTAAAAGCCTCCAATTCCTGAGCCAACTGTTCCCTGGTATGTGAAGTGTCAATGAACAGCAAATCATGCGGTGGAAAGGGCCCATCTTCAGCCCCAAGTTCCTGCAGAAAGCTCTGATTCAACACATCTCCTTCTCGAAAGTGAACATCCACCCGACTGCAGTTGACCAGGAAAGGTAAAATCTTCTGGACGCCAGGGGCACGTACGATATCCTTGGGCACCCAAAAATTCCACCAGAAATTCACCATGGAAATGGGAGAGATGAAACCCACATGGGAACATGCCAAACATCACCTTGTCGCAAAAAAATGCCAGACATCCCATGTCCCAGATCTTAAAAATACCCATGGAACAAAGTGTTTCACATTCAACAAAACTCAGCATCTTAATCTCAATCACCTTCACAATTCCAAGATAACTGGGATATCACAGAAATATATGTACGGGTATATATTATATATATAAGAATATATACATATAACACAACCCAAAAAGATGCCTCTTTTTCAGCGTTTCCAGGATGTGATGCCAAATCATGTAGTTTTACCCATCATTGGCATTTCTGAATGGGGCTTCGATGATTTACCGACATTCCCGACTAGTCATGGTGCACAAACAACCAGAGGGTTTGTTTCCATGTATATCCCCATGAAAATCCCCATGCTTCTCATGCTCAATCCTAAAATTTTCTAATTTTTATTTCCCTAAACATTCCCAAACAAAGTCGTCGACATGTTTCAGGACAAGTCTATCCCTAAACTGCCAACAACTCCAAGTCATCCATGTCCTTTTAGAGAAAAATAGAGGGGCCAGTGTGGCATTGTCACCTATGGATTGGTGTTCATCTAAAACCATCCAAAACCCATAGATTTCCCATAGATTTGGCCATTTCTCCAAGTGTCATACATCCTATAGCGATACCTCTCCTTGGACTCCAGTGCCGCTCGGGCGAAGGCGATGGAGGACCATCCCTGGGCCACACCGAGCTCGGCGACGCCGGTGCCGCGCAGCGCGTAGTGGTAGAGCGTGGGGAGATGGGCGCGGATGAACAACGAACCTTGGATGGGCTTCGGTGATTTGGGTGATTTGGGTGATTTGGGTGATTTGGGTGATTTTTTTGGAATGTAGGTGATATAAAACCCATTTTCGGGACCTCAGATGGGGCGATTCCTGGTTAGTAACTGGGTTAGTAACTGGGTTTCTATGTTTTTTCTTTTTAACCCCCCAAAAATGCCAATGAAATAATCCATTTACTAGTTAACTAACTCCATGGCCCATCTAAGTGGGGGCTTTGGTGATTTGGGTGATTTGGGTGATTTTTTTGGAATGTAGGTGATGTAAAATACCATATAGTGGAACTGATGATATTGATAGTATATGATAGGGACCATATAGAATAGAGGGGCCTGGTTAGGGACTTAAGGTGATTTCGGAAAATAGGTGATATAGTTAATGTACATCAATGGGAACACATTATGATAGTGGAATATTACAGCATATTAACGTTAACTGTATATAACTATGGTTTAAGGATTATAGGGGCTTGGGGATGGGGACTTAAGGAATATAGGTGATATATTCCCATATTATATTCCAAATGGGAATATATCAACATTTAACTATATGGTAATATTCGACTATTCTTGTAATTGGCGATTTAAGGAATATAGGTGATATAATGTTATATAATAGGAACATATTAACATACAATAGTAGACTATGGTAACTATATATGAACTATATATATATCAACTGTAGGTGATTTGCGAAAATAGGTAGTATAGGTGATATAGCGAATATTAATGAACATAGGAAATATAGGAACCATACAATAGTGGAATATAAAACCATATAGTTGATTAATATATATATATTAATATACATTAGGGATCCTTAGGGACTTGGTTATTGAAGGAATATAGGTAATATGTGGTAATATAGGGAATATTATAAGTGGAATAGCAGGAGTATATTAACATATAATAAACATATTAATAGTGGAATAATGGGAATGTATTAACATACAATAGTCACATATTACCATATATTAACTATATCAAACTAATTCTGTTCACATCGAAACCGGCAAGCCGCAAAACTAATCCGTAATCCTGATAATCTGCGTCCGTGTTGTAAACCGGTGTAATCCGTAATCCACAACCCTTCATGAGTGGAAAACCAATGCAAGAAAACAAAGTTGATAGTGTGGCCCTCGGATATTTTGTCCTTTGCTGGGGGGCATTTGAAAATACACAGGTCATCGAGCCACAGCTTGTTGAAAGAGCCCTAGTGATACCAACGGACCACCAGTGCGCACACAAACCCTTCACCGGGGAACCCCAAATACAAACATCCGTGCCTATAACCGACCAATTAATAGCGGTGCCCGTTTCAAGCTTGTATGCGCATTTGAAGGGGTGCTGGGAAAGGTACTGGTGATATGAAAACGAAGTGGTACTACCTGGAGAGCACTCATTTTGGAATCACCAGTGCGCGCGCAAACCTTGCACCAAGGAACACCAAACACATCCTTGCGACTTGCCTACAACCTTGAAACTGCTTGTGGTGCCCAAGCTAACAAAAAAATTCGAAGCTCAGGGGATGCTAGGAAGGGCACTGGTGATACCAAAACGAAGTGGTACTACCTGGGGAGCACTCATTTTGGGATCACCAGTGCGCACACAAACCCTTCACCTTAGGAACGCCAAGTACACACATTCTTGACCCTTGTCTACAACCGACCAACCACTAATGGTGCCCAAGCAAACAGAAAAAATCGAAGCTCAGGGGGTGCTAGGAAGGGCACTGGTGATACCAAAACGAAGTGGTACTACCTGGGGAGCACTCATTTTGGGATCACCAGTGCGCACACAAACCTTTCACCGAGGAATCCCAAATACACATATCTCACCGACCAAGTAATAACGGTGCTCATTTTGAAAGCAATATCAACCTCAAGTGTTTTGAAGCGCTCAACCTCACCCCTTTACAGCCCAAGGGCTTTGGCAATACCCACATCAAATGAACACCTCCCATATCAACAATACTCATTGATACCCCTTATTGAAGCAAACATCAATGTAACCCTGCGGTAAGCCAACGAAACCGTTGATCTTTGGTACCAGAAATAAACCGTAAACCCCTAATCCGTAATCCGGCTAATCATTAGGGATTAGTTTTGATGTGAGCTAACTTCTAAAACATACAAACCAGTATTTGACCTATGAATTTTTAACGAGTGGGTTTTAACTAGTGGGTTTGGTCATATTGCATCTCATAGTCTTGGTTAAGAGTGGTTAATACTTGCCATTCATGGTTAAATCATGGCCATTGATGATCCCAATCCCCTGCTCAGCCTATGGTGGAAGCTTCCGGGGATGAAATCACGACCGGAACCAGATTCAGGGGAGATGTCAAGTGGGATCATCATCCCATTTCAGGGGCCAAGACAGGGGATTTTAAGGGTTCTTATCCCTAGGGGTTTTATGGGTTTTTGATGATGATCCCATTCTTTATGGGTTTTTATGTGTTTTTTTTTAAAAATCATATGAAGAAAGATCCGAAGCACCAGGAAACTATCCCTAGGGCCGAAAAAAACAGGTTTTTCACATAGAAAAAACAATAAATGAAGCAACCAGGAACCCTCCTGCAGTTCGTTGAAGGCTAAGGCATCTTCATACAACTTCACCACCTCCTCCACCGGACATTGCGAAGCAGATGAAGCAGGCTCCGGAAGGGACCAGGCTCCAGTTATGGTGGCACCAATCCATCCCCGCATGACATGGCGCCGCGGGGTCAACAAGCTGTGGAAAGTGGTCGAACTCCATCATTTCCCCCATGGAAAACTTGCAAATTTGGGGTCCCTGTTTTTGGAAAAAGCCATATCGAAAACAAAGAAAACAGCATCGGACACACGGAAATCTGGCTTTTAGCTGAGCCTGGTGAATTACGGAGAAATAACATAGATATCCCATAGTTTCCTTGGGAAAAGTATGTACAAATGATGAGTTTTCCACATATATACGTATAATATATATATATATTATATTTACACGAGGGTAACTATCAAATTAATCCCATGGCTAATTCAAAAAGTGAATCCCATGTTTACCAATGGTTGCCTGTATGAGTTGCCAGAAAAATGGTGAATGTCTGGCAGATCACAAACACATTCCGCTGGCGAATCACCAGTTTTCCCATGATGAGATTCCCTTTTTCGCCGGCCCCCATCCCTATTGAAGTTGGCCGCTATGGAAAAAGAACCTTGGGGAAAAAACCAAGGAGAATGACCTACTTATGACCTACTTATGACATCTTATGATCTACTTATGACCTACTTTCATCATCTTTTCCATCGTCATTTTCCAACATCATCTGCCACGTCGTAGCTCGCTATGGATCCCTTTGGGTGGTTCATATCAGGCTCGAGCCGCTCAACCAATGAGTCAACCATGGTCAACCTGGGTCAACCTTGGAGCACCCCAAAATCCACCACATTTTTGGGCTTCTTCCGCTGAACATTGGCCAACAGGGGATGGGTCAAAACCCTGGTACCCCTGTAGTTCACATCAAAATGGCTGGTAAATGGATGTGAATAACCCACTAAAAATGTATCTATAGGTATTGATCCATAGCCAACATGGCTTTTTGAAATGCGGAAAAGGATGGACATCTACAAAATCTGGGGATCAGCCACGGATGGGAGATATGGCTATGCCCAGACATTTCATTGATCATATATGATCATATGATCTTCCCCTATAGAACATCGGCAATTTTCCGATCCATACATTCTGGGTAAATGACCATAGAAATAGTGGATTTTCCCATTAAAAATGGTGATTTTTCATAGTTATGTTAGTTTACCAGAGGGTAAATGATAATATTTCACTAACCTGAATTGTTGGGCCATAAAAGGGGATGATTCCCCGCTTACTAACCATGATTCCAGGCTTCGGGAGAACAGGGTTCGGTCGTGATGAAATTTACCCAGATACATTGGAAGTAGTATGCTACGTTTCTCCCACATTCAATCAGCATCTGCCTCATCTGCCAAGCAAACTACCGCGCAACTTGTTTTCCAAGAGATCAGCGTCGCTTACGCCGCGTTTTCTGTGCGCATTTTGCAGTCAAGCCTGATGATTGGTCCTTATTCAGGTCCCGGAAAGTTATACGATTTTCATACTGCTGAAATATTTCCAAAGCTGAGATTTTTGCATAGATAAGTCGTCTTGATGTTGGGGTCCCTTACCACCATCTGAGGTGAGGGTGTTGTATGTTGTGAAGTTGCTATACTTTACTAACATATGGGTTCTGAAAAAGCCATGATTCAATGGATTGGTTTAAGGGAACATTTACAGGAAAGCCCCATGATCTTAATGGGAAAATAACTCTGGTTTCCGGTTAACAATTTCCCTTAAACCAATCCAATCAATGATGAATGGCTACCGTTCCCTATGCAAAAGCAAGCACGAGCTTTGGCTATCGAACATTTGCGGTTGAAGACCAAGTTATCTTGGTTGAAGCCTTGTAATAAATTTCATGGCAGCCTTTGACATGCTTGTCATCTGACTCAGATGGGCAGTGTCCGAACCCCTCTGTCATTCCAGCATATTCGTTGGTTTATAGGGATTCCCAATTCACGGGTGATGATAATCCATGATAATCCACAATTTATGAAGCTTCTATAACCACATATAACCACCAAAGAATCATCTTTATCAGTTGTGTAGATGGTGAAAAAACGTCTCAAAAACACCCAAAATCATCACTGATCAAGTGTAGATGGTTAAACCATCTTAAAACATCTTATATAAGACATCCAAAATATGATATTTCTTTTCATCCCCCAAACTAATCATCAACAAACAGCTGTGGCTTTCACAGCTCAGTCATAGCCAAGTCGTCAGCCAGGTGGAGTTTCCCCATTCTGGCGTAACTCAGGGGTCCTGAGCCTGTGAGCACCAGGGGGTCCCAAGCTTGGTGTCAGTAAAATAAGAAAAACAGTAGCTGAAGCAGTCGGCTTTTCCAAGTTTCCAACTTTTCCTTTTTTTTCTTTTTGGACATTTTCGGATTTGAGTACCATCTGGTTATTTAACATAGCCATTAGAAATAGATGGTTTACCGTTCTTAAAAATGGTGGATCTTTCCATTTGGCAAACTGTGAATGTCATAACCAGAGGGTATCTGAAAATGGCCATATTTTCGTGGAGAAAACAGGGCGTTTTCCCATCACTTTTCCCTCCGACCTGGAACGTGGAGACCGAGGCCTTTAGGACCTCGGCTGTTTGGAAAAAACACTTGGGCCTTGGTTTGGAAAAGCCCTAAAAATCTACTTCAGACTGAATTTGTTCATCATTTTGGATCATGAACTTTGATGAAATATGATGAGTTCTGAATGATTCTTATCATCTTCCTTTTGTGATATGACTTCCCATTTCTGGATGAGGCCAATCGTTGAATCAAACTGGGAAGCACATACCAGTACAAGTACACGTGTCTATAAATCACAGGATCATTCCCAAAGTCATGGGCACATTATATATATATATCTACTTGATTTTTGAATATTGAGAGATCGGATAGTTTCATATCACATCATTCCATGGTTCCATGTTTTTCCCTGCAATTTCATCATTTCATATCATTTCATATCATTTCTATGGGTTTCCTATGTTTTTTCCGTGGGTTTTCCTATGTTTTTCCTGTGGTTTTGCATCATTTCGATTGATCCAACCATTCCTATCATTTTCACATCGCTTCGTAGCTGATCCATCCGGATCTCCCACCTGATCCCAGGAGGACTCCCAGGGTCCCGGCGCAGTTGCGGTATCTCCAATACCAGTCAGATCAGAAACAAATGAAAACGGATCTTTCTGCCTCAGTGACTCAGTGACTTAGGAGACCTGTCGGAGACTTAGGTGACTTAGGTGACTTAGGTGACTTAGGAGACTTAGGAGACTTAGGAGACCTGTCGGAGATCTGTCTGAAGATGAATTGTGAATTCAAAAGAGTTTTTTTGACTTAGGAGATCCTCAGTGACTACGATGATCTAAGATGTGTAGGGCCTTTGTAAATATGATGATCATGATGATGATGGATCCCAACAAAGTTTGAAACTAGACATCTTTCAGAAAGATGACTGGTTGTTGGTTGAGCCCTACCCCTCTGAAAAATATGAGTTCGTCAGTTGGGATGATTATTCCCAATATTATGGAAAAATAAAAAATCTTCCAAACCACCAACCAGATGAACATTTGGGTATCATGATGTGGAGGTTTCATGAGGTTTCCTGAGTCATGGGGGTGCCACCAGTTCTCATCCCAATTTAGTAGGGGGCATTTTCCCTGAAAGAAACCATCCATTTGGGGTATCCCCATTTATGGAAAGCCCCATGTGTAGCGAAGGGCGTTTGTAAACATAGATCCCACTAGAAGCTAGACATCATTCAATTGATATTTCATATGATATTTCCCTGCAATGTAGGGAAGGGCGAAGAAATCAAAAATCATTCAGTGGATGGGATATTTTGGGATAGTTTATGTTATACTAACATAGCTATTGGAAATTGCCATAGAAATAGTGGATTTACCCATTAAAAGTGGTGGATCTTTCCATAGTTATGCAACAGTTTACCAGGCCGGGTAGTTTATGTTATACCTCCCACTGGAAAAAAACCTGCTGGACTCATTCAGTTCAGTCACAACTCGCCAAATCCGTAACTTCTTCGCCGTTGAACAAGTTCCAACTCTCACATGGACCCACCCGGGGGAGACCCACCAATACCTCAAAGGTGACCATGATACCCCAAGGACCTGTTTCAAGCATCAGAAAAATCCTTGCGATATATCATTTCTTGAAAATTACAGTACTCTTCATGCTTCACCATGGTACAAAACAGTTTCAACCATCAACATGGTACATCCAAGATACCAAGCATAAGCATGAGTTCTTAGCTCTGAATCCCATTAGACCCAAGTCGTTGATCATTTGATCCAGCTTCTCAAGATGAAGCCACATAACAACAGTCCATTCATCCATTTAGTTCGTTGATTTTCCCATTCAAAATTAGGTGGATCTTTCCATAGTTTTTTTAAACAGTTTACCAGAGGGTACCATGGGCATATCTACATATATCTACCAGAAACCAATGAACTTCATATATCAATTATTATCAATACTACATATGTATCTACATGATTATCAATAAACATATCAACTTCTACATGGGCATATCATGGCATATCTACATATATCAATGATTATCAATGGTTGTATCCCAATTCATATCCCAACAGTATAGATATCAGCCACATATTGGTAGATCTTGATGAAACCCATTGGCATATATTATCAATGGTTGTATCCCAATTTTCATATTGGTTACCATAAATATATCAATGGTGGTATACTATTGGTTAATATTGGATAGATATTGGTTAATATTGGTAGATAATATATATAATTATCATTGATAGATATAATCCCAATATCTATCCAATATCCCATTATCTATCCAATGATAATATCCCAATATCTACCAATAATTATCATATCTATATAATAGATATAATATCTCAATTTCGTATCTATCCATATCTATCCCAGGCGGATTCCATCCCAGCTCTCCCAGATCCGACTTCGGAGTCGTCTCCAGGACGGACGGGATGTACGGCGCTTTGGCCGCCGTCATGGGAGCCATGGGAGCCATAGGACCCATGGGCCTCAGATTGCGGAACCAACTACTACCCGGCCTGGTAAACCATAGGTTTCAATGGGAAAACCATAGGAAAACCATAGGAAAACCATAGGAAAACCATAGTTATTATATATCCATATTAGTTGGTTTATTGAAAAAATGTGAAAATATGGAAAGATTCACCATTTTTAATGGATGAATCAATGGAAACATACACTAATAAGATGTCTATTGGTGAAATAAGATGTCTGTTGGTGAAATATGGTGAAAAATCCATATTAGTCACAATATCATGTATATATATATATGTTTTAGTGAGTCAACAATGAATATATGATCAATAAGATGTCTATTGGTGAAATATGGTGAAATAGCATGTTATCCCCTGAGAATCATCATGGATATCATTAACCAAATGTGGAAAAACACTGTGATCATTAATCATAAAGATGATCATAAATAATAACATCGACAATAAGCACAAAAATATCATGAATAATGTCAATAACATTCTGGTTGGTGGTTTTTAACCATCTTGAAAATATGAGTTCGTCAATGGGTTTCGGATGACATCCCATATATGACATGGACAATAATCCATTCATGTTTGAAACCACCAACCAGATGGCTTTTCCCATGGTTTTCCCATGATTTTCCCAGGGTTTTTCCCATGTCAATAACATTACTTAATCACATCCATGACCATATACTAAAACGCATCCTTTTCCCCTCCTGAAGGTGATTTCCGAGCTCCCTCAATTTCATGGGGCACTGGGGCACTGGCTGGCCCAAGCCACCTGTCCAGGTCATTCCAGGTCATTTATGTTAAACAAAAACAGGAAGTCTCATTGTTTTCTAGGGAAAATCCAGGGGAAATATCGCAATCATATATATATACACATGTTCATCATTGACATTATGTAAAAGTGTGTTTTTAACATTGGATTTTGTTGGGACATGTTACGGTAATTGCAAATTCACACTATTTTACATGTCTCTTGTTTGGAATCATTTCGAGCTTAACATGTCTCTTGTTTGGACTTCTGTTGAGCATCAAAGATATGGGGATAGACTTGAGAAATGATGCAAATGGTTTCTTCTCAAGATATGGGGACTTCTATCATCTTCTATCTATCTAAAAGATAGATAGAAGCGTAAAACACCACTGAAATACTGTAGTGGTAAATCAGATATCTCCTATCTTTTTGGGTGGTCCAACTCGGAATTCATTGCCAATCTTAGATGGGCCCCTGCAACAATTGACAGTTTCATGTGGCAAATGGAGGAAAACGACAGATTCAAGTGCTAAAGTACCCAAACAAATCCTCCCCTAAGTCGAAACTGGCCTTGATATGATTTTATACCATTCAAACAATATATGACTCCCCCTGCTTGTTTTGGGGAAGACTAGGAGTCTCTGGGTCTATGTTGGGAATGGATCCAGCACATCTTGCTCTGAAGAGGATCGAACGGGCTACCCTCCACTATTGGCTAACAAAGCTACGGAAGCCATCATCCATTTATAGATGATTTATAGATTGATTTATAGATTGATTTACCTATCAGAGATGGTGATTTTCCACAGCTATGGTGATGTTGCCGGAATACCTTGGCTTCTCCCCCCAAACTAATGATTCCAGCTCCCAAAATCAGAGGGAAACTTGCGCCAATGGCATGTGGCCAAACATCAACCAACTCACGATCCAACTCTTTCGTGGCCTCAAAATCTTACATTTTGGCAGGTCCGCCGATTTTCTCATTTTTTAATGGGGGGTAGTTCAACAAGTAACCTACTCAACCAGGGTCCAGAAACGATGGGATACTCTCCAGTAAATCATGTTTCTAGAGTCTAAATGACCAGCTGGATTTCCTCTTGGGATCAACATCTGGTTGGTGGTTGACCTACCCCTCTGAAAAATCATGGAGTTCGTCAATGGGTTTCGGATGACATCCCTTTTCGATGAAATGGACAATAATCCATTCATGTTTGAAACCACCAACCAGTTATAGTTGTTCATCATGATTTTCATGGCTTTTCACATGGATTTCTATGGATTTCACCAGACATCCATTTACCAAACATTACCAGCGATTTTTTGGGGCTGATGGGCTGATTCCATGGGCCGTCTTGGGATTACAGGATGCCAGCCGTTGCCTCCATATGCGCTGCTTGCGCCACTTGAAGGGGGGAAGAGTGGCAAGGTTGCAGCCTGCGATGGTGGTTGAACCATCAGACATAGCATCATAGACTCAAAAAAAAGAAATATTTGAAATCACCAACCTATGCTAAGATATGCTAAGGTCATGTTAAACCAATGTATTGGGGGATATAATGGGAATATAGTAGGATATACAACAATGCGGGTGAACATGGGGTGTACCGTATAGCTGCAATAATGGTTCATTCATGCTATTTTACAGGCAACATGATGATTCACTCGTGAATTAAGGGGATCCTATTTTCAGACATAATCAAATGGAACGCGGTTTCATAACGTTTCAACAAGTCATCTACGCATGGTGGGTGGAAAACCACATCTTCATACTACATATGCTGCTCTACTGGAGGGTATACCAGCTCCAAACTGCATCTGGGTACCTGGGTACCAACCAAGAAATCCAAGTGCGATCTGCTCCCCCCAAAACCAACCATGGCGGTCTTCACGAGAAAAAACATGCTGATTGGACTTCGAACTGCAGCCCATTTGTTCAACGAAATTCATCACTGACATGGCTGACCCGGCTCGGATCCACCACGGGTTCATGAGTATGACCATACCCCAAAAATGGGTCTCTTCCATGGTGGTCGTGGAGCCATGTCTCTTCTATTCTCCACAAATAGCCACTAAAACGGCAAGCTTGGAGTCATCTTGATCAGTGCCATCCGCTAGGTTTCTCCACACCCCCCATGGTTTTTTGTAGGATAGACAAAGTTAAGCCAGCATTTTTGGCCGACAAAACCACCAACTTTCATGATTCAAGCTTGACCCAAATGGATTCTCATGGATATCCAAAAAAATATGGGGAAACTGCAGAACCCCCCGAAAATCCTATGGTTTACTTGGCGGCTCATCCCAAGGATCCTAAGTAGGTCATATCCCTGGCTTTTTCAATGGGATAAGTAGGCTTAATGCATTTATAACTACAGGATGGGCCCCCCCAGTTGTGTTTGCTGGTTCATAAACCACAAGAAAACCAAAAGACATTCTCAGCTAGTTCGAAAAAAAAACATCTTATATCTACCAACCATAGAATTCAGCCACTTTTTTTGAGCAACTGAACGCTATCGCTCGCTCGACTGCCCCGTCCTGGGTTTTCACTGGGCCCCAACCCGTCCCTGAGGGATGAACCTTGGGCCCGGAGGACGGCATCCCCAAGAGGAGACTCGTACCTGCCGTTCTCCATGGCCCAAGCTCGCTGGATGGATGGTTTCCATGGGAAATTCCATCTAGAAATGGATGAGAACTGGGAAATTCCGCCCAACAATTTTTGGAACCTGCAACAGATAATCACGATGTAATCACTATGGAATCCAGAAATGTTTGATGAGATTTAACCCATTGTGATTTAACCAAAATAGTGATGGTCCATACAAAAACATCACTAGAGGAATCACTATTGAAATGTTTGGATCATGTTTGATCCAAAATTTCACCAAACATGAGTTGATGATTAAAAAAACATGGTGAACCTATGGTCAACCTTTGGTAGCCCACAAAAACATCTCATCTTTGTTGTTTTCGTGGTGAAAATTTCAATTTATCGCAAAAGACTCAAGGATTAAACCATCCAAATTTGGGGAGATATACGAACATGATCATGGTATACTCGTGTATCATCTACATCATCGCTACTAGAATGGTACCCCTTTTAAACCAACACATCATTGAAGCAACTTGGTGAAAAAACACGTTCCACCACCTGCCCACACGGATCACCCGCCCCTGCAAAAACAAGAGCAGACTCGATAACGATTCGCAAGACATCTGGGCAACTTGCAATAATTCACGAACCTGAAATGTTCGGCTATAGTGGGATAGTTACCCCTAATCCTAACCACTAAACTTTGTGGGAGGAGGGAGAACAGTGAGGTCGTTATAATTTACCCAGAACACATCAGTGCGATTTCAAGCTGAAGATCTGAAGTAGTCAAGTCATGACCCCCAGACCTCCAAGGCTAAGTTCATGTCAATGGCTAGAACCGTTTTATGTCTCCAAAAAGATCCCACAAAAATCGCCAAGCATCTGGATACTTTTTTTTTGTTTGCTGCTCCAAGTATCTAAATCACTACAAGTCCTTCAACTTCTCATCTTAGTAAACTCTAACCAACAAAAACGAAGTAACTACAAGGTTGGCCCCCCAGTTATTGTTGCTTTATAAGTTTATAAGATGTTCGGACCCCACCAGTTAGTCCTCAACAGCACCGGTTTACTTTGTGGCATCAACCGAGGGGCTGCCCGGCAGTGAAGCACTGGCAGTGAAGGGAATGGCACCGGCACCCAGGGACAGCGGCGCAGCGGCAGCTGGGGCAGCTGGGGCTGGTGAAAGCAGGTCCAGGTCCTGTCACGCTTGGCTCATGCGGCGTCGCGACCATACCCGGATGCGAAGGATATTTGATGATATATAATTACATATTAAATATATATATATATGATATTATATAGATACTTATCCGTATGGAATTCCGGTTGAGTTTTAGACACAAAAAACATGTGTCATAGCAATTCTGGATACTTTCGTAGGTCCGAATCTTTCTCGAACCCAACGATGGATATTTTCGACTTCTCACAGATATTGGTGAACTCCAGGATGTTCCCCCCCCAAAAATAGCGATGTAGCGATGTGGAGCCAAGATCCAAGCGCTAAAGCCAGCGCTTGATCCAGCGCTTGATCCAAGCGCTGAAGACATCCCTAGAGATTTCCCCCAATTTCTGGTAGACTTTACAAAAGGGGACAGGTGACCGATTTGATCCGATATCTTGAGAAAAATCCAAGATGGGCGTTGGGGTTGAAGCAGGGAATGCAGGACCTAGACATAGTAAGGTATGCCCCACTAAGGTAACTGATGGTTGTTTCACATGAATGTTGCCCACTTATTCACTGGGATGCACAAGTATAGGGTAGGGTTCAGGCTTTGAATGTCTGGAATTAGGGTGCTTTTAGGGCCTTTCCACAAGAAGTGCACCAGACAAACAGCTCATTGACCTCCAAAACTCATCCATTTCTTCTTGTGTTGAAAGCAGCGTTGTCATCTGGGGGTGTCTGAAGATTAGGGCACCTCATTCCATTTCACGCTTGATCATCAATTTCCCCATTAAGAAATGCTTAAACTTACCATCAACTTGGGCATCCAACCCATTTTGTTGGGGATTTTCTCCATTCACAGTGACCTTTTTCCGCCCCCAACAATTGCATGGTGCATCATCATTTTCCGCACCTGGTCTACCTTGGCGTCCCATGTCCCATGACCCCAAAATCCTGGGAAAACACCAACCAGTCCTGCGGCAAGCTGCTGCCTTGCGGTGGCCCTCCCAGGAGGTCCACATCGCTCAGCGAGGGCGCCGGGGTCGCGGCTGGTGCCGCGGCAGCGGCGGGGGGATCCGACATGTCTAGCAGATCTGGCGCGGGGGCCGCCTGGAAAAGTTTTTCAGCAGTTGGGATTTTGGAAGGATCTTGACACCATCCTTTGGGCAGAGAACGGCGGGGAGATCCCCGAACTCAATAAATATCAGGGTTTATAGCTGGGAAAATCCTAGGGATTTTCCTGCAAACTATGTTTACCAGAGGGTACTTGATCATCCCCTTGAAGTGTGATGCGGGAAACTGGGAAGAGACTTGAAAGAATTGAACGATCTTTGCTGTATCGATTCAGAATTAAACTGGGATTGAACCATGGTTCTGTATTTTGAGACTTGAAAAAACTGAACTGGGATTCTCTCAAAATTTGGATCCCCATAAACCATCACATGGTTTTCACAACACCTCGTTCTCCCATTCTTCAATGGCCATAAATTGGGCTACCCCCTCAGGCCTTTGCAGGCTTTGCGATTGGCTTCTCCTGCGGATTTGCAAACGTCATGGCCTTGGGAAACTCAGTTTTGCGAAAATATTCATAGCTGCAAGTGGCTCCCCATTGAAATACGAACATAGACAAAATACATCAAAATACATCAAAATAGCCAGAGCTTCTTAGCTCGCTCCCTCCATTCACTGGATAGTGAAGACTTTGATCCTGCTGGAAAGATCTTCGCCATCCCTGATCTAAGAGTTCCATCAGATCAGATTGGCGAAGTCCAGTTGTGAGGAAAAACCCACCCAACGGAACTGGGTCCTAGGGGTTTTTGGACTTCAATGCCAGATAAGTCGGGCAAAAATTGGGTCTAGTATTGGGCAAAACAACCACATTTGGACAACAATTTGCCATATTAGTTAAACTTAGTTGGACTCTAGACATCTCTACTGTATGCTACTAACATACACTAACCACCAATCAAACTAATTGGGACGCAAGACTGTGGTAACAGAAACACTAAGCATATTAGTCAAACCTTTGGGACTTACTACTGTAATTAATGTGGGTAATTCCCAATGCCATTTGCACCATCCCCCAGGAAAATCACCATAACTATATAGTGGTATGTTTACCATTCCCAGTCATGGCTGGCTTATGACATTGTCTTACCCACATTACTTTGGTAATTCATCCCATGAATCCCGTTTGTGGCTTAGTTCATCCCAGTGATCATTGAACTAACCTTAGGGGTACCACTACTATCCCAAGGTAGCCAATTCATATATATATATACCCTCTGGTAAACTAGCATAACTATGGAAAATCACAATTTTTAATGGGCAAATCAACTATAAATGGACCATTTTCAATAGCTATGTTAAATTACCAGAGGGTATATATCCCAACTGGAATATCCATTTTCCCACATCAATAGTAACATACACTAACCACTAACCACCAACACATGGAATTTCCAGGACACAATCCCCCTCCGCCCCTCCCAAACTTTCGCCTTCTTGGCCGCCTCCTCTTCATCCGCCTTTGCTCCATCGTCCTGGTTTTCCAGAACCAAGACATGGGCGGGGAGAACGACATGGGGAAAAAATCAGGGAAAATAGGGATTTGACCAACAAACATCTTGGATTTAACCGCCAGAAATGGTGATTCATTGGGATTAATACCCTTTGGCTATCTGGAACATGGAAGACCATGGGCCATATATTTTAGCATCAAACATAGGGGATCCACCATGAAAAATCTTGAATGGGGAGATATATATGGATACTGGATACCTTCTATGGTAATTCAACCGTTTGCGAACTGGAACATGGCCCATCTAGAGATGTTTTACTCTTCAACTTGTGATTTTACACGGCCATGTGAATGTCCCGGACTATCACAAACATAAACGAACCTAGTATAGATTGGTAATATGGAGGTTTCCTAAAATGGGGGTACCCAATCATCCATCTTAATGGGATTTTCCCTTGTAAACCATCCATTTTTGGGGTACACCCCATTTATGGAAACCCCATATGGCGCGAGGGGTGAACGGGCGAGCCTGCTTCTCCTTGACCCTGCCAGTGATAAGCTTCATGACCTGCATCAAAACCACAATTTTTGAGCCATTAAACATAGCCTATACTACAATGTGGGGCCCCCAGTTATAAGTTACTTAGTTTATAAACCCCATGAATACTATAGCTATAAGTATCATAAAGCATAGTTATGGGAGTTATAAACCAACTTAGCTATCTAATCGGCCCCACTTTGTATTTTTTTTAAAACCATCCCCAACAATGCCCGGTAGAAGTAGTATCTCTCTTTTTTAAGATAGCTAATGAAGCAAGGTATAGTTTTCATGGCTCAAAATAGAAGCAGTTTCTCAGTTTCTCATCATGATAGATGCCAGCCCAGCTGGTAGATCCAAATACCATCGAAATACGATGACCAACATGGTCAATCTCCCATGGGAGCAACAAAGTTGACGAATTCCATTGTCTAATCTTATTCCTGTTGTTTCTATATTAGTGAACACACATGGAGGTTTCCTGAAATAGGGGTACCCCTAAATCATCCATTCTAATAGGATTTTCCATAATAAACCATCCATTTTGGGGTACCACCATTTATGGACCCCTTCATATGGTCACCACCATTTATGGAACCCCCCATATAGTCACCACCATTTATGGAAACCCTATATATATATACAGTATACATATATATAGTTAAACTAATAAGATTGTCATGTCTAACATGTTTTACCACAACATCTTCAGAAACCAAAGCAGAACCAAGGCCCTTCGACCCTTCGGATATGATGTTTTTCGGAATCGGAAAAGAATGGGAACATCATTGGATACAATCAACATCAACCAGATGATATCTGTGGTATGGTCATCCATCTCACAATGACAGAGATTTTCATGGTGGGGATTTATCAACTCAGCAACTCCTAAAAATATCAATGGATTGATGACCAATTTTCGCTCTACACTCCAACTCTTCACCAGGGATCAGGTCCCCTGGGTCAAACATGGTGTTATTTAACCACCCAAAAATCGAAAATTTATCACGCCACGGATCAGAAGTGAAAATAACACGTCATCTAGATTCAAGTAGTAAGTAGGCTATCCCAATTTTTTTCAGTGGCTTATCACCACCACAGACATTAACATCATGAAAACCGATTAACCGTCACTGCCCCCACGGGACGTAAGCTGGGTGCCCAGCAGTTATGCTGGTTTAAAAACACCCATCCATGGATGTATCTTACCATAAACCCTAGTTATGGGAGTGATGTTTACCAACTAAATGGGATCATCCTTTAATAATTTTCTGGCTACAACCCCTTAAGAACAATGCAGAAACGTTTCAATTTATCACACCACTAATGGAAATTAACACTTTTGGGCATCGAACTTTGGGGGTTATATATATATATACAATTGTATAATGTTTTTTTCATATATAAACCATGGATTTTCAGACGATTTTCCGTTTTAAAAACGTGACACGCCTCTGTCGCCTTCTCAGCACATTGCTGCACCTGGCTCCACTGACACAACATCTGTGGAGTCCCTCGTTTCTCAGGCAAGTTTTGATACACGATATGGGGGGTTCCTGAAATAGGGGTACCTCCAAAGCATTCATTTTAATCGGATGTTCCATTTTTTCAACCATCCAGCGATAAAGGGGTACCCCCATGGAAATATTAGAACGTGCATTTGAATCCTTTTTCAAGGGATAGTGATCAGAAGGTTACCTGTTGACGATTGTATACTATAGACTGGGAAACACAGTGACAATCTTCAAACACGAACACCTCCTTTTGGACCTCGAAACACATGGGAGGATGAACTCACGACTCACTGGAAACCAGCAATCTCACACTTTTTGGGTGCCATCATGGGAACTTACTGACTTAAGCAACTCAGCTTTTTTCTGTTTTGCGAGCATCAAACTATTGAGGTTCCATATTTATCTGAGTTTATCGATATAAGTAGAGCATCTCTAATGAAACAATATCTCATATATTCCACTAGTGATTATCAATCTACTGAATCTATTCAGATGTTTATTACGTATTATAGATAGCTTTTATATGATCTATAGCCTCTGGTAAATTACCCTCCAGTAAATTAACATAGACCCTGGCAGTCATTGGCGTTGGAAGATTATTTTCCACTAAACATTGTTTTTTTTCAGAGTCTATCCATGAAACATACCCCTATCCCATTATATATACTGGTTGGTTAATAGTTATCCCTACTATGGTTTATTGCATTTTATTGTAATCCCCATTAAACCACATAGTATAATCACCATTTCATAACCTATCAACTATGGTATTTTCAATGGCTGGGATTCCAAAATCCCCATTCAACCAGATGGTCCATCGGGCCCATCGAGACATATCGAAACCAAAGCCCATCCGGTGTCGTCCTCATGTTCCCGTCACGTCACTTCGGTGTCAGCTGAGATGTGGCTGCCTTTTCTTCAAAATTCAACCTCCCTACAACTGATGGATCAATCATCTGCATGAATAGAGATGAATATGATGATTTGTTTGACTGAACCAAGAATAGATGATCAAATAGATGATCAAATAGATGATCAATTTCATAGAGACAGAAATATCATCAACCCCGTTCCCACGAATAGATGATCAATGAATTTCGCCCAGCACAAGCCGTTATTCTTCGGGGGGTCACCAACCTTGGGCCCTTGTGTGTTGGCTGAATCCCCACAACAAAACCAGTTCCTGAATCTACACCCCATGAATCAAACGGAGTAAACAACATGTAAACAATTATTTACAAAAAACAGTCATAGTAACCTGGTTGGTGGTTTCAACCCCTCTGAAAAATATTAATTAGTCAGTTAGGATTATTATTCAATATATGGAAAAATAAAAACTGTTCCAAACCACCAACCAGTTTTTTTTTTAAAAAACCAGTCATAGTAACTAGTGTTATCATCACCTAAATCACAGTCCAGTTTTTCTCAGCTTGCACCTCGGTAAGGTGTTGAATGATACCTTTGGCTTGTCCCATGACACTCATAGCGACCTCCTGCGGAGGTGTTTTTTGGGATATGCCAACAATGGCTCTATGGCTTCATTCATATTTTACCATTGACTATCCATAGAGAAATTGGACATAGAAATGATCTACCACCATTTCCATGGACAGACTATTCATGACATTCATATTTCTGGGTAAATTTATTAAATTATCATATGTCACTCACCCAAAAATTGTTCGGCCATAAAAGGGGATGATTTCCCTTAACTTATGATTTACCCGGGCTCGGGAGAACGACGTGTCGTGATGAAATTTACCCAGAGATTTCTTCCCATGGCTCCCTGGTCCGCGGGTTCAACATGGAAAACTCTGAGATGGGGTTTTCTGGTTGCTGCAATGTGCCCATGGAAAATCAACCTGGTGAGGAAAGATCCACCATGCTATTAATGGGAAAATCAACCTGGTTGGTCGTTTTAACTGACCATCTTGAAAAATATGAAGAGTTCGTCAATGGGTTTCGGATGACATCCCTTTGTTATGACATGGACAATAAAACATGTTCCAAACCACCAACCAGTTTTTGTCAAACATGTACTGGTACAATGGAATACACTGGATATGATGGAGATATCATCGAGATAGGATGTGGATGAAATTTTTCATTTGCCAAACATAGATATGTTTTCTCCTCAGTTAGATGGTGGTTTACCATCTGGTTATTTAACATAGCCATGGAAAATCACCATTTTAGAAAGGTACACCATCGATAAAACGGCAATTTTCCATGGCTACTGGTATGTTAAACAACCAGAGGGTAACTCTCCAAAATGGGGAGGCGACATTGGTGGCATTGGTCGCGACGTAACGGAGATCTTCCGTGGATACTTTCTAATTCTTTCCCTGGATAAGAAAGCAATACCCTCTAGTAAAGTAACATAGCTATGGAACATCCCCACTTTCCATAGATAAATCAACTATAAATGGCAATTTTCAATAGCTATGTTAAATTACCAGAGGGTAATGATAGTTCATTCCAAAGTCCTGATCCAAAGCAATCCTTTCCCCAGAAACATCAGGAAAAACCATGCTTTGGCGAAGATTTACCTATATTCTAAGGACCATAGAATGGGAATGTTTTTTCTATGAACTGGGTATGGGATTGTCTAAACAGTATCATGTTATCATATGTTATCACCATAGATTGTTTAAGATGAACTGGATAAAATTCACCACAGATTGTTGAAGGGCAATCAATTCTCCAGTTTCTATCCCATTGATTGTCCCTTTTGTTCCGTCGCATATTTCTAGTGGATTGATCAATGGTTTGAGCGTCATCCAATGGATTTTCACATACCACTGATCATTCTGAATGGGCTATGAAAAATCCCATTGAGCCCTATGAAATTCCATGAAACATCCCATCGTTTGTAAGAGGGCTATGGGATTAAGCTACAACTGTCTATAATTGTCTATAGTTGGATGGTTTTATAAACTCATCTTTAAAAACAAACAACACCATAAATGAAATTAATCATGTAATGTGGTAAACCCAAGTTCACAAACCATCAAGAAATCAATCATAAATATACGGGTGGGATTTCAACCATTCCCAAATATCATTAGGGGCATTAATTCCCATTGTATACGCACGATTATATAACTCATATGAAATCCGATTAAATCCCATTCATCGTCCCACTTCCTGGATGCCTTCCATCATACATGCCTTGGGTGGGATTTCAACCATGCCCAAATGGTAGCTTATAAATGGATAATAAACCCACATGGGATAGTATATTGATGAAGAATTATCATCAATGATACGAAATGTGATTAGTGGGTTACCCTCTGGTAATTTAACATAACAACGGAAAGATCCACCATTTTTAATAACGGTAAATCCACTATTTCAATGGCCATTTTCTATAGCTATTTTGACATAACCAGAGGAAATTCTTCATTGCCATCATATATCATCATATATCCCATTAAATCCCATTAAATGCCATCATATATCACCATCATATATCCCATTAAAACACCATATGGCAGTGTGTCAAAACCTTGTACCCCTGGTGAACATCAAAATAGCTGGTAAATGGATGTTCATCCCCCTAAAAATGGTATTAATAGGTATTGATCCATACCCATATCCCATTAAAACACCATAGAAATGATAGAAAGCCAGGAGGTTCGGACACACTTCGCTCCCTTCGCTCCTTTCCCGTGGGATGCTTCTTGTAGAGGTACTCCATGGCATATAACACACGAAGTCGGGGTTGCCAGGAGGTGTCACCTGAACAGAGATCATCATAGGGTGAGATCGATGGAGACCTCGAAAACCGTAGGAAAACCTAGAAAAATCATAGGAAAACCTAGAAAAACATAGGAACACCTAAAACGATGGAAAACAAAAATGTGATTTAACCTTAAGAAAAACTTGTGATTTCATGCTTTTTGTTCCCAAAATCTAGGTGCCTGGATATGGGATTTACCCTGGGGTAAACTGACAGTTCGATGCGTTTTTTTCCACTGTGGAATCGTTTCCCTGAGGAAACCATATGGGAAAACTCACATCTACGTTGAGAAATCCCTGGGATAACTATGGAAAATAAGGATTGAACTCTCAAACAGAAGTGGTTGAATTCTATGGTTTATGGCAGATAGAACTATAGTTAATGGGGTTTATAACTAGTATCTGGTTATAACTATGGAGACCTGGTTGGTGGTTTTTCATTGTGGTTATAAACCTCCATAACTTGGTGTATAAAACACAGACATAACCATGGTTACACACATATCATAAATATATGATTACCCTCTGGTGAACTAACATAGCAATTGAAAATGGCCATTTATAGTGGATTTATCCATTAAAAATGGTGATTTTCCATTGCTATGTTAGTTCACCAGAGGGTATATATGCTGGTTGGTGGTTGACCTACCCCTCTGAAAAATGATGGAGTGAAAGTCAGACTGGATCATCATCCCCAATCTGGTTGGGGAAAAAAATGTTCCAAAGCATCAACCAGCTATGGAAAAGAAGGATTGAACTAATTGAACTATCAAACATGAGGCTATCATGGGTTTATCCTATGAGGATCTTACTAATGGGATATTCCGTAACATATCCAAGGATGAGGATATCAGGATCTAATTTGTTAAGATTTAACTGGGATCATGGGATATCATCAACCAATCACAATGGTAACACCTAGTGGTTATGATATGATCATACTCTACTGGAACATACCAGGTTAGGCCCCCGTAAAAAAAACGATGGCTAGACGATATCCATGGGTTCATAGCTTAGCCCCGGTGGAGCATCCACTACATGAAGCTTGTTTTTTGGACATTCATTGAACATCCATGGGTGATTTTCAATCGATTACCAGAGGATACGGCGAGTTTTGGGATTTCACCCAGGGTTTCACCAGAAAAATCCCCAACGACTTTCCCAGAAGCTGACCATTTTCCACCTCTGATCCGCCAAGCGACCATTGGTAAAGCTGAGCTCATCGTAAAAAGCACCTCAGCTACCGAACTGCGGCCGATTCTGCATTCTTTTGCAGGTTTATAATGTTTATACCATTAAACAAGCAATGGTTGGTGGGGGCTACCTACCCCTCTGAAAAATGATGGACAACTCGTCAGTTGGGATGATGTTCCATTCCCAATATATATGGTTCCAGTCATAATCATAATCCATTCATATCCATTCCATGGTTCCAGTCACCACCAACCAGAGTCAAATTTTTGTGGGTTTTTGGTGGTGGATCCCCATTGCACCTGGTGCTTCATCCCAGGGACTTCACCCGCCATCCATTTCCGGGAAAACTCGGAGATTTGCTCAGCAAATTGGGAGCTGGAGATTTTCCAGTCGAAATTTTCCCAATTTTTTGGCCAATTTGACGATGGGAATCCCAGGATTTCCCACAAAGTCCATTGAAACGGTGTGATGTGTTGGAACGGTGCGAGCCAGTTTTTTTGATTTACCATAGGTAATTTACCACGAATCAATGATATAAGAAAATTTACTGGTAGTGACTTACTGGTGCGTCTAAAACGTAGGGAATTTTCGGGAATGATCCACTGGCGAACGATCAATCATAATCCCAGCAACCCCCAGCAACCCATCCAGCAACCCGACGTAAAACGCACCAGTCAGTTTTGCAGGGCATGAGAATCCCATGAAATCCCATGGTAAGAGGAAATTCATCCCATCCAAAGTCTGGTTGAACTCCCAGCCTTTTAAAACCGTTAAAGCCGCGGTTCCGAAAAAAAGGCGTTGTTTGACAGCGCCACTGAGCCCTGTGCTGGTCAATGCGATGGGCTTCAGTTCATGAATCTTGGCCCAAAGCTTGTCCAATTCTTGCGAATTCGGTCTGACCTGGATGCGGAAGGCACCGTCAGAAGGGCTGACATCTTGGCACTTGTGGGTTTTTCAGGGCTGTTGACTGTTGATGGGATACCCTCTGGTTATGACTAACAGTTCGCCATGGTGTTTCAATGGCCCCAGTTGAAATAGATGGTTTACCGTTCTTAATAGCATGGTGGATCTTTCCAGTTCGCAAACTCTGAATGTCATAACCAGATGGGATATGGTTTACCTATTAATAGCATGGTGGATCTTTCTAGATGGTATGGGTTTACCGTTCTTCATAGCATGGTGGATCTTTCCAGTTCGCAAACTCTGAATGTCATAACCAGATGGGATATGGTTTACCTATTAAAAGCATGGTGGATCTTTCTAGATGGTATGGGTTTACCGTTCTTAATAGCATGGTGGATCTTTCCAGTTCGCAAACTCTGAATGTCATAACCAGATGGGATATGGTTTACCTATTAATAGCATGGTGGATCTTTCTAGATGGTATGGGTTTACCGTTCTTCATAGCATGGTGGATCTTTCCAGTTCGCAAACTCTGAATGTCATAACCAGATGGGATATGGTTTACCTATTAATAGCATGGTGGATCTTTCTAGATGGTATGGGTTTACCGTTCTTCATAGCATGGTGGATCTTTCCAGTTCGCAAACTCTGAATGTCATAACCAGATGGGATATGGTTTACAGTACCTGTTAATAGCATGGTGGATCTTTCTAGATGGTATGGGTTTACTATTCATAGCATGGTGGATCTTTCCAGTTTCGCAACCTGAATTCATAACCAGATGGGATATGTTTACCTTTAATAGCATGGTGATCTTTCTAGATGGTCTGGTTTACCTATTCATAGCAGGTGATCTTTCAGTTCGCAACTCTGAAGTCATAACCAATGGGATATGGTTACCTATTAAACATGGTGGATCTTTCTAGATGGTATGGGTTTACCTATTCATAGCATGGTGGATCTTTCCAGTTCGCAAACTCTGAATGTCATAACCAGATGGGATATGGTTTACCTATTAATAGCATGGTGGATCTTTCTAGATGGTATGGGTTTACCTATTCATAGCATGGTGGATCTTGCCAGTTCGCAAACTCTGAATGTCATAACCAGATGGGATATGGTTTACCTATTAAACATGGTGGATCTTTCTAGATGGTATGGGTTTACCTATTCATAGCATGGTGGATCTTTCCAGTTCGCAAACTCTGAATGTCATAACCAGATGGGATATGGTTTACAGTACCTGTTAATAGCATGGTGGATCTTTCTAGATGGTATGGGTTTACCGTTATTCATAGCATGGTGGATCTTTCCAGTTCGCAAACTCTGAATGTCATAACCAGATGGGATATGGTTTACCTATTAATAGCATGGTGGATCTTTCTAGATGGTATGGGTTTACCGTTCTTAATAGCATGGTGGATCTTTCCAGTTCGCAAACTCTGAATGTCATAACCAGATGGGATATGGTTTACCTATTAATAGCATGGTGGATCTTTCTAGATGGTATGGGTTTACCGTTCTTCATAGCATGGTGGATCTTTCCAGTTCGCAAACCGGGTCCAGTTAAGGATCAACTCGTGGGCGGCTCGTTGCGGCGAATTTCCGTTTCGGCAACATGAAACCAGCTTAGGAAGCTCCAACTGGTTTTGGTGGTATACCAAAACCCATCTTGAAAAATGATGGTTTTATATGGTTTAATATGGATAATAATGGGATAACTGGGATATCTCCAACTGGTTGGTGGTGCAATGTGCCCATCTTGACAAAAATATCATGGACTTCGTCAATGGGTTTCGGATGACATCCCATATATTGATGAAATGGAAAATAATCCATTCATGTTCCAGTCACCACCAACCAGATCCCCTTGTGACCCTCTGATTTTCCTCTGAAATGAATGGATGTGGAGGTCCCAGGACACCTAGTTACCTAGTTCAGAAATGGATAGCCAATCCCATCCGAGTAAACACCACCATTTTTTATGGGCCCAGTCATATGCGGTTTTTATCCCCAAGAACAACCATAGTTCTAGGTGTTTCATCCCCAGGTACGGAGGAAAGCAAACATGTTTTCATATCCTCTGGTTTTCCCAACACAGCTATGGACAATTACCATTTTTAATAGGTCAATTATGGTCAATTCACTAGATTGTAGCAAACTGAATAGCAAACTTAATAGCAAACTGTCACAAATTACCCCAGGGTGCTTGGTGGTTCATCCCAGTGGTTAGGTCAGTTCACCCCAGTTTGTGAGTTAGTACGTAGGTTAGTTCACCGAAGTTATAAGTGGATGATCACCCTACTTCTCCCACTTATAAAAAACCACGGATACACATATGTATACATATATATATGTATATAAAACCACATATGCCATATATACCCGTATCTCTCTCTCTCTATATATATATATATATTACATACATATTATATAATCTACTTCGGATCCGTGGGTCAACAGCAGACATGGCAGAAATTCCGTACCAGGAAACTCGGGCCGCTGGATATTTCTGGCAGAAGTCAGAGATGGCACTGGCCGCTTCCTGCCTGGACTTTTTCGAGATATGGAGATATCATGGGGGGATAAGAATAGGGATATATATATATATAACCAACTCAATATACATATATATATATATATATAGTGACGGACAATCACTTAGAACGTATTTTGGAAAAAAATTTCTGAATATTACTGTTTTTTTTACGTTCTAAGCCTTGCACTTAGAACGTCGAAAACCATACACTTAGAACGTCCAAATATCAAGATTCATCACTTAGAACGTACCGGGGATTTAACACTTAGAACGTGTCTAGGTCACTGATGATAGTGGAAAGGATTGTGAAATCTTTTATCTCTAAGTGTTGGATTCAGCAGCTAATTCCGTAGGAAACATAGACATAATTTCGTAGCCTTTGGCTTTTCCCTCCCATATGATTTGCAAACGTTGGCGATCTTTTATCTCTGGAACGGTATACCCTTTGGTGCTTTTTGGGGGTTCTGAGTTCTGATGCTCGAAGTGTTGGATTCAGCAGCTAATTCCGTAGGAAACATAGGCATAATTTCGTACCATTTGGCTTTTCCCTCACAAATGATTTGCAAATATTGGCGATCTTTTATCTCTGGAGCAGTATACCCTTTGGTGCTTTTTGGGGGTTCTGACGTTCTAAGTTTTGCATTCCGCAGCTAATTCCGTAGGAAACATAGACATAATTTCGTACCATTTAGCTTTTCCCTCCCATATGATTTGCAAATATTGGCGATCTTTTATCTCTGGAACACTATACCTTTTGGATCCTTTTGGTGCTTTTTGGGGGTTCTGACGTTCTAAGTGTTGGATTCAGCAGCTAATTCTGTATAGGAAACATAGACATAATTTCGTACCATTTGGCTTTTCCCTCCCATATGATTTGCCAATCTTGGCTGTCTTTACTTCTGGAACACTATACTTTTGGGTGCTTTTTTTGCGGGTTCTGACGTTCTAAGTGTTGGATTCAGCAGCTAATTCCTTAGGAAACATAGGCATAATTTCGTACCATTTGGCTTTTCCCTCACAAATGATTTGCAAACATTGGCGATCTTTTATTTCTGGAACACTATACCTTTTGGTGCTTTTTGGGGGTTCTGACGTTCTAAGTGTTGGATTCAGCAGCTAATTCCGTATAGGAAACATAGACATAATTTCGTACCATTTGGCTTTTCCCTCCCATATGATTTGCAAATCTTGGCGGTCTTTACTTCTGGAACACTATACTTTTTGGTGCTTTTTGGTGGTTCTGACGTTCTAAGTGTTGGATTCAGAAGCTAATTCCGTAGGAAACATAGACATAATTTCGTACCATTTGGCTTTTCCCTTCCATATGATTTGCAAACATTGGCGATCTTTTATCTCTGGAGCAGTATACCCTTTGGTGCTGTTTGGGGGTTCTGAGTTCTGATGTTCGAAGTGTTGGATTCAGCAGCTAGTTCCGTAGGAAACATAGACATAATTTCGTACCATTTGGCTTTTCCCTCCCATATGATTTGCCAATCTTGGCGGTCTTTACCTCTGGAACACTATACCTTTTGGTGTTTTTTTGAGGGTTCTGACGTTCTAAGTGTTGGATTCAGCAGCTAATTCCGCAGGAAACATAGACATAATTTCGTACCATTTAGCTTTTCCCTCCTATATGATTTGCAAACATTGGCGACTTTTATCTCTGGAACACTATACCTTTTGGATCCTTTTGGTGCCTTTTGGGGGTTCTGACGTTCTAAGTGTTGGATTCAGCAGCTCCGTATATAGGATTTCGTCCCTTTTTCTTGCGTGGAACACTATACCTTTTGGTGCTTTTTGGGGGTTCTGACGTTCTAAGTGTTGGATTCAGAAGCTAATTCCGTAGGAAACATAGACATAATTTCGTACCATTTAGCTTTTCCCTCCTATATGATTTGCAAACATTGGCGATCTTTTATCTCTGGAGCAGTATACCCTTTGGTGCTGTTTGGGGGTTCTGACGTTCTAAGCCGTAGGAAACATAGACATAATTTGTACCATTTGGCTTTTCCCTCCCATATGATTTGCCAATCTTGGCGGTCTTTACTTCTGGAACACTATACTTTTTGGTGCTTTTTGGGGGTTCTGACGTTCTAAGTGTTGAATTCAGCAGCTAATTCCGCATAGGAAACATAGACATAATTTCGTACCATTTAGCTTTTCCCTCCTATATGATTTGCAAACATTGGCGACTTTTATCTCTGGAACACTATACCTTTTGGATCCTTTTGGTGCTTTTTGGGGTTCTGACGTTCTAAGTGTTGGATTCAGCAGCTAATTCCGTAGGAAACATAGACATAATTTCGTACCATTTGGCTTTTCCCTCCCATATGATTTGCAAATATTGGCGATCTTTTATCTCTGGAACGCTATACGTTTTGGTGCTTTTTGGGGGTTCTGACGTTCTAAGTGTTGGATTCAGCAGCTAGTTCCGTAGGAAACATCGACATAATTTCGTACCATTTGGCTTTTCCCTTCCATATGTTTTGCAAATATTGGCGTTCTTTATCTCTGGGACACTATGCCTTTTGGTGCTTTTTGGGGGTTCTGACGTTCTAAGTGTTGGATTCGGCAGCTAATGCCGTAGGAAACATAGACATAATTTCGTACCATTTGGCTTTTCCCTCCCATATGATTTGCAAACATTGGCGATCTTTTATCTCTGGAACACTATACCTTTTGGTGCTTTTTGGGGGTTCTGACGTTCTAAGTGTTGGATTCAGCAGCTAGTTCCGTAGGAAACATAGACATAATTTCGTACCATTTGGCTTTTCCCTCACAAATGATTTGCAAACATTGGCGATCTTTTATCTCTGGAACACTATACCTTTTGGATCCTTTTGGTGCTTTTTGGGGGTTCTGACGTTCTAAGTGTTGGATTCAGCAGCTAATTCCGTAGGAAACATAGACATAATTTCGTACCATTTGGCTTTTCCCTCCCATATGATTTGCAAATATTGGCGATCTTTTATCTCTGGAACACTATACTCTTTGGTGCTTTTTGGGGGTTCTGACGTTCTAAGTGTTGGATTCAGCAGCTAATTCCGTAGGAAACATAGACATAATTTCGTACCATTTAGCTTTTCCCTCCTATATGATTTGCAAATATTGGCGATCTTTTATCTCTGGAACGCTATACGTTTTGGTGCTTTTTGGGGGTTCTGACGTTCTAAGTGTTGGATTCAGCAGCTAGTTCCGTAGGAAACATAGATCGACATAATTTCGTACCATTTGGCTTTTCCCTTCCATATGTTTTGCAAATATTGGCGTTCTTTATCTCTGGGACACTATGCCTTTTGGTGCTTTTTGGGGGTTCTGACGTTCTAAGTGTTGGATTCGGCAGCTAATGCCGTAGGAAACATAGACATAATTTCGTACCATTTGGCTTTTCCCTCCCATATGATTTGCAAACATTGGCGATCTTTTATCTCTGGAACACTATACCTTTTGGTGCTTTTTGGGGGTTCTGACGTTCTAAGTGTTGGATTCAGCAGCTATTCCGTAGGAAACATAGACATAATTTCGTACCATTTGGCTTTTCCCTCACAAATGATTTGCAAACATTGGCGATCTTTTATCTCTGGAACACTATACCTTTTGGATCCTTTACTTTGGGGGTTCTTTTGGATTCAGGGGTAGGAGCCCTCCCGATTTGCAAATATTGGCGATCTTTTATCTCTGGAACGGTATACTCTTTGGTGCTTTTTGGGGGTTCTGACGTTCTAAGTGTTGGATTCAGCAGCTAATTCCGTAGGAAACATAGACATAATTTCGATTCCACTGCGAATTCCAATTTTCTGCAATATTTCAATTGCGTTTTATAAAAGGAAATTCAATTGATTTCGAAAGTGAAAACAAGAGTTTTTTTAAAATTAAGGTTTTAAATTTATTATTAGGGTCCGCTTCGGAATCCAATTTTTGGCAATATTTAAATTGAAATCGAAAAAAATGGTTTTTCTTATTAAGGGTTTTAATTTATTATTTAGGTCCGCATCGAAATCCAATTTGTGGCAATATTTCAATTGCGTTATACAAGGAAATTTGATTGATTTTGAATCGAAAAAAATAGTTTTGTTTTATTAAAGGTTTAAATTTATTAGGGTCCGCTTCGAAATCTAATTTTTGGCAATAGTCTAATTGCGTTATAAAAGGAAATTTAATTGATTTTGAATCGAAAAAACTTGTTTTTTTTATTAAGGGTTTAAATTTATTATTAGGATCCGCTTCGAAATCCAATTTTTGGCAATATTTTAATTGCGTTATATAAGGAAATTTCACTGATTTGAAATCGAAAACATAGTCTTTCTTATTAAGCGTTTAAATTTATTATTAGGGTCCGCTTCGAAATCCAATTTTTGGCAATATTTTTAATTGTGTTATATAAGGAAGTTTAATTGATTTTGAAATCGAAAAAATAGTTTATATAGCGACGGACAATCACTTAGCACGTTCTAAGTGTTGGTTTACGTTCTAAGTGATAAATGGGCCTAAGTGATATTTTGACGTTCTAAGTGATGAATTTTCCCTACGTTCTAAGTGATGAAATTTTGCTACGTTCTAAGTACGAAAAAAAAAATGGAAAAAATTTTACGTTCTAAGTGATTGTCCGTCACTATATACATATATATATATATATCTGGGAAAATTATGATAATTCACTAGCCTGAAATAAGGCCCCACGAACTTTCATCAGCCCTCCCCCAAGCTGCGCGAAGGGAGGACTGTCTTCCTCTAAGGTGCTTGTCCTTGAAGCTGTGAAACATGTCCCAGAACCATCCACTAAATCTCCTGCCTGAATCCAAGAACCAGCCTCGGCACGGTGCACAGGAGTTTCTATCAAACTTCGGATGGCTCAACAAAAGGTACCAGACAAAACTGAATTATCCTCCTCCAAGCTCTGCCCGTGCCTTCCGCACTGTGATCATGCGGAGTTTTCCCAATCGATTGCGTTCTTTCCAGAGTGATGGCAACATGGTGTCAGCACTATTGAAATTGAAGTTGGGGGCAGTA